TTGGTCCCAGGAAAGGCTGCTCTAGCCATGGCTTCCCTGCCTCCTGGATTAACCTGGCTGCCTAGTTGAATTTCTCTGTCACAGAGCTTGTGCACCGGCCGATTGGCGAGTACTCTGCTCCTCTGAGATGCAGTGCGTGGCGTCAAACGCACTTCTGCTTGTGAACCTCTAATAACTGCACCTGGAAAGACGAGCCGCATATCTCCAGATGAGGATTCCAAGCACCTTGGGAACGGTAGAAGCAAACAATGCAAAATAACTGGCAGGCTCATTCTGTAGAGCCAAGGGAATAAAGAAAAATCTTGGAGGTGAGCAGGCGATCGTTTTAAGTGTTGAAATAGCCCCGCCTCTCAGTTTGTTCATCAGATTTGTAATAAGCCAAGCTGACAATCAAATGTATGTGCTGAGAAGGTACCTCACCCCTCTCCAGGCTGGCAGGTTGAGGCACCTCCTGTGGAAGCCCCTGCCAAATGACACAGAAGCACTTCCCTGCAGATCGCGGCCCGTGTGTTCCACAAAAAGGGCCTTAACAAATGAAAAAGAAATCATTTGTGTGTTCGTTCTTCTCTCTGAAGCAGTCACTCCAATCGCTGTTCTAACAGAGACCGTGGGGTGTGCAACTTTCTCCCCCGGCTGAGTTATGAATCCTCTTTCTACCCTTAAAATAATGCTTTTAAATAACTACATAGATACTACCAAAAGCACAGAAGCTCCCACCAAAAACTGTGTCCTGCATCTGCTTTCCCCAGCCCAATTCTTCCACCGTAATCCATAGCAATGAAATGTATAGTATGTGTGTATATTTGTTACAGATGCGTGCATATATAACGGACATAGATGCACCATTAACTCATGGCAATCACGTGGGGTGCCAAAGTTCCCCAAGATAAGCTAACATCTTAATTCGTACCCACATCCTGGAGAGCAGTGGGAATTCCAGGATAGCGGTGAGTTCCGGACCCCCGCTCGTTCTGCCCTTAGATGGGTGCCTTTAAACTATTCTGGATGCCGAGGGCTTCTAGCCGCATTTGAAGGGCAGCCTTCTCAGCAACAAAACCCAACAAATGTCAGGTTTCTGTGCCTCTTTACCTGGTGCTACAATTCTTTTACCTGGTTTGTACATAACTAAGTTCTTGTTTTCCAGCTTGGATTTTCCGTGTAGCACAAATTTCAGATTTTTGAATCTGAGATGTATAAAATGTACAATGGAATTTCAGGAAATTTATATATAAACTCCCCAAAAGGTTCATATGGTCAGACCTGTTGGTGGGTGCATCTTGTTTGCCCTTTGAACTTAGCCTAGGAGGTGACTATTTCAGGAAGACTTTCCAGATGTTTTGCTATCGGGCAGAAGGCAATTTCTCTCAAGAGAGTCTGTTCTGCCCCAGCAGTGTGTCATGCCTGCACTCATGGTACTCAAGGGACACTTTCAGTTTGTGAATTACCTGTTCAAAGTGTAGGTCACCAATGACAAAGCGAGTGAACCGTTTCGGAGGAAAGTCTCCAGCACTGCAGAGGAGCTTCTGTCGGTGAGCATCGGCTTGCATTTCCCATCATGCATCACTGCTGGTGGGGAGCATTACCTGTGTCCGTTGGAGACCACAGACCAGTGTGGCGAAAAGTCCTTGTAGGTTCAGAGGCTGTGCTGACAGGCAGAGCAAGGTGGACTGCTGGTTTGGTGGGACTTGTGATCCCTGACCTGGATGTGAACCCCTCAGCCCCTTTGCACTTGGAGGCATCCGTTGCCAGCCCCTGAGCATCCACCCTGCAGGAGTCGGGTGCGTGCGTGCTTCGTGGAGAGGAGTTCCGGAACAAGCAGATGCAGTCTTAAGAACGTGTCAGAGTACAGCAGCTCTGCTTTTTCTCTTGCAAATCAGCTTTGAATAGTAGTTTGGCACTTTAAGTAGAGTATTTTAAGTTTCCTCACTTCCCTTCTCCTTTTTCCCACATGCACTTTAAACCTTTGGCTGTTGTTCGCTGTTACACACAGAAGGGTTGACTTGGATGGAAAATCGGTAGTGGAGGCAGTTGCATTGGGCTGCTGTTGCCGCCTCCCGCAGGGTGTGTGCGCTCTCCTCTCGGCACACCCACATTGCATATATAGCACAAGCAAGATCTTGCGTATTCTCAGGGCGGTCCCGTTTTAATCCCGCCATACGGCACCTGACAGGTCGGATTGCAGCGGCTTTCGTAAAGTGCGCAGAGCCTTTTTTGCGTGTGCTGCGACCTCCACTGAGCCGCAATAAAGCGTGAGAGATGCTGCTAATGTTTGTAGTGTACACGGAGCCTTTGGAATTAAGGAGGAACAGGCTAAACTTCCATGAGATCCCAACTGTCTTGATATGGTGTGACTTTCAGGTTCCCCTGCACTCTCCCTTCCCGAATTTCTGCCCCAAACAACTGGGGCTTGTTCACTGAGGCAGGTGAAAGGTTGGCTGGCGTGGGCTGGAGGCCGCCAGTTCGGTAGTGAACCTGCGGGGCGAGGCTCCGAGGAGTGCTGGGTTGGGCTGCCACCTGGGCTGGATGTGCTGTGGCCGGGTGCTGGGCACGTGGCCACACGCGAGGTCAGCCACGCAGCGTCTGCGCTGCTCATCACCAGTGCCGGGCGATGTTCCCCCAGTTCATGGCACTTTGGCCCATTTGCCAGGACCGGGCTTGAGCAGAGGGTTCGGAACAGATCGGGCCCAGCAATGAATTCTCCCGTCTTGTTTCTGTCCGCCCATAGCATTAAGTATATGTTTTCTCTGCTTCAGAGGGTCCTACCCTTGTTTTCTCTTTGCAATGAACCATTCACCACCTGGCATACTGTCTGGAATTCTTACTCCATAAATCGGAAACAAATAAGTTTTACAATTCTTTTTCTACAGGAGTGCTGAGACTTCCTATTAAATTGATCTTTTGGATGGTTTTACATTGCTTTGTACTTGCAAAAAACAGAATGCATACTACACTTTTGCAGTAGGCTAAAACGTGAACCGACTGTTTGCAACAAACTGTATCAGTGTATTTATACTGAGCATTTTCCAAAGCCCGGGTCTCAGGCATCTATTCTCCCAGTGCTTTTTAGGGACGAGAAGGGAGAAGGAAAGAGGCAAGAGGGTCATGGTTTTATGGGTGTGTCTTTGGTGTGCATGGAAGGAGACTGAAATATAATGGTGAAGAGAAAAACTTGTACAAACTTATTTAAAGCAGTTTAGCAAAAAAGAAAAAAAGGAAAGAAAGAAAAGAAAGAACTATTATCTCATTGAACAGCTTTAAAAATGTGAATGGAATTTAGCAACTTGGTTAGGACTCTGAAAAATTCTATAAATGTATACTTGAAATTCTGTTTGTATTTTAAAAAAAAATGCATTTTTCCTCTTTAACACTGTGTAAAAGAAATGTTATGCATGTGAGTGGTTTGAGAATTAAATGGTTTAATACTCAACCCCGGAAGGCACCGTCATTTTTGTCCTGGCCACGGATTCTGCCACTTTTCTTTAGCATGCTGGCCTTTTTCTCGCGCAAGCCCTGACCACTTCCTTGCATCAGTGCTCCTCCTAGATCACTCCAGGCCAGAAATCCCGGTGGGCCATTTGCAGACTCAGCTTCCGCGGTTGCCAGGGGGCACGTGGTTCATTGCACCTTGGCCGTGCCTCCTGCCCTCACCCCCCGTGGCCCCCTAAGCCAGGTGCTCCACCAGCCGCCCGCGCTGGCCTTCCAGGGGTCGCGCAAAGCTCTGGAGGCGATCCTAGCCAGCTGGGTGTCTTGGTGGCACCCGTGCTGTGCCAGCCGCCCTTCCTCGTTCTGCCGCTGCAGGATGGGTTGCAGCCCCATCGTTCCAGAGGGTCTCTGTGGCAGGTGGTCTCCTGCCCTCCAGGTAAGGTGCAGATAATAGGTGGCCTTTGAAACGTGGCGAAGGCTATTTTCTAATAGCAGGTCCAGGGGCTTTGCCAGCAATACACAGAAGGGTTCCTAAAAGGGTGACACTGCTGAAGACCTTGAGAACTGTCCCCGAATCGAAAGCGATGTTGGAGGCTCCGCACTGCAGGGTGCAACCATCCAGCCTCTGCGTAAAGGCCTCCAGCAGAGAACCGCTGTCTCCCGAGAGCGCCGGGCCACCGCGAGAAGCGTGGAGCCTCTAACATTTAGCTCAGATTGACTTCCCTGCACTTTCCAGTGAATGTTCCAGTCCTGCCCAGTGGAGCAGTTGTGGAATTAAGAGAGGAATTGCTCCTGAGTAAGTGTCTACAGGAGCAGGCTGCATGCATCCAGGCTGGCACATATGTCATCTCTTGGCGCTGTAAGGCTGAGTTTGCCTTCAAGTCCTGCAGTTCCTTAATGGACATCAGGGACAGGTTGCTGCGAACAGCTATAGACGGGTTGCATTTTAAATAGACGCCTCCTGAGAACACTTTCCTCCGTTTCCTGAATCTTGGCTCTTCCTCGCTCTAATGGCTGCCAGCAAGTGCCATTTTGTTTATGTCGTAGCACTGCCCCCATTTGTGGGTCGCTTCCAAAGGGGCTGCATCCCCTCCCTGCTCTGCGGACGCAGGGTGGCCGTGGGAGGTGGGGAAAGACGGAGAACGAGTGCAGACCATAATGAGCGCTGCAGCACCATAGCCCTTCCACTCGGCCATCGTGAAGGGATGCTTGTGTTCATGGGAAGGCACCCGGCGCTAATGGGTCTGAATTCTACCCGGCCGGAGTGTATATTTTCTGAAGCAAGCTGGCAGCTACAGCTGCATCTACTTTGCTTTGAGCAACGGATTCTGCTTCCAAGATTCAGGTTTTGAAAGAAGAGAAACATTCTTTGGCAGGCAGAAAAAGACCAGAGAGTGAGGACCCGCTGACCAGGCCAATGGAGGCCTCGCCTCAGCAAGCCAAAAGCTTCCTGCTCCAACTGCAAGGCCTCTGAAGCAGAGCTGAAAAGAGGAGCCCTTTGCTCCGATCTCTCTGCCTTCGTGGCAGCCACAAACTCACTGGGCTGCATTCACCAACCATGCCACAATATGCCGGAGTCGGGGAAAGGTATTTTTTTATTAGGTAGACACAGAGATGTCCAGAAGGGTTGACACTCGTGAGACAAGACCAGAGCGAGATGACCGAGGCGTTAAGAGCACGGGTTGCCGACCCTGCCCATGAAGAGGATGGAGTTCAGGGAAACGGCCCGTATGAGCACCAGGAAGGGCCTGCAGGCGTTGAAGGAGACTTTGTTCAGCGGAAACGAGCGGCCCATGAGCAGCACTGCGGTGGCCGCCGCGGCCTCGCTGCCTTCCTCGTTCACCTGCGGAGTGGAGAAAGACGCACACGCTGAATTGGGCACTCACACACATCACTCCCTCTGCATGCGAAAAGAGGGGGAGTGCCCCCGAATGGAGAGGGCCACGTACAGCAGTTGGGGAAATAGTCCTGGAAGCCTCTTGTCCAGGGACACCATTCTGCTTGATGGATGCAGCCCATTAATCAGTGGCGGAGAATTTTGATGTTCTCAAGTGAGAAACGCGCTGGGAGAAGGGAAGCCCTTGTTTCCATTGTGCTCGTGCGCCCCCAATCCGGGCAACGCCCTTCCGAAGCTGAGGCACGCGTGCATTCTGGCAGGCATCGCCTGGGAAGAGGGCGTGTGGTTTCGCTCGTGCCGCAGCGCTCTTGCCTTTGCTCATACGCAAGCATAGGATGAGCTGCAATTTCCTTAATCCGGCCAACGTGTTTCCTTGCAGTGTGGTGTGTGACTCAATGCCCCTCTTTTGCTTTTGCTGTTGCTTTCGCTGCCCAAGATGGTGGGTGTCCCTGCTGGAGCCACTGTGTCGCTTGTGGGAGAAGGGGAGCGTGGGACTTGGCCCGTCCCTCTTTCCTGTCTCAGTTGCTCTGCCTAGGCTGCACTCCAGGCCCGCCTGAGAGTTGGGGCGGACGTCACGCACAGACTCCGTATCCAGGCCCTCCTGTCCTAGCACCCCCCACCCCCTTTCTTGCAGTGTGTCATCTGGAACTCATTCATTCATTCATTAAAAGCTTTTGTATGCCGTCCTATTACTCAAAATCTCAGGATGGCTTGCAGTATTGGGTATAGTGGAACACAGAGCTTCCGAACAGGTTAACTGAGGGAGGAATTAATCGTTTTAAGCCCACAGCTTGCCAAAGCCCTGAGGCTTTGCTTTGTTCACCAGCTGAGGCAATTTGAGCCTACAGGTACCATTCAATTTTAAGTCTAATTGGATTCATTGTATTTTGGCATGATTCCCTTTGACAATAGGGAAGGGGATGATCAAAACACGGATCGGGAGTATTCGTGCTCCAGGGAAACGGGGGCTCTCCATGGGCTTTTGAGTATCGTCCGGGATCCTTCAACACATTGCCTTGGAGTGGCAGCGGCTGCAGTCCAGCACAGAGGGATGACGCTGGCTGAAGACGGGACAGCTGCTCCGCCACCTCCAGGGATCTCTGATGGAAGGCCAAGGCCAAGCTGCCTTCATGGCCAACGTCAGACATTCTGAGCCTTGCAGTCCAAAGCGTCTAAAGGTGGGTTCTGCTCTGTTCTGGCGCTGTGCTCTGCGGCCCGTTCCACGTGAGGCCGTGCGGGCTGGTGGAACAGGCCTCCTTCCTGAGGCGAACGCTGGACGTTGCTTGCTTCCCACGCATCTGCCTCTGGGTCAGCTGTCGGAGGCCTGCGTGGGCAGCCCATTTGGGCCCTAAGCTTTGAGCTGCTGGCCTGGCACTCAGCCTCTTGGGACGGCTTTGCCCCTCCAAGCCCAGCCATTGAGCTTCACCAAAATAGTGGGTGTCTGCATGATTCCAAAGGTCTCAAGCCTACACGGACTCCATGCCACCCGATCCAGAAGCCTCAGCCCTAATCCCAGATTTATGGGGTGAGATCTAGCTATTGAAAGCTCTTCGTAAATATCAGACTGCTCAAGCATACTTCAGGACCAAGGCTGGATAGGCAGGCCTGGGTTCAAATCCACTTTCAGTTAGGAAGCTTACTGGGTCAAGCAGTCACTTTCTCTCAAAGGAATCTACTTCACAGGGTTGTTGTGTGAATACACAGTAGAGTGGGGCAGCCTGAGAGAGAGAGAGATGAAATTTTGGGAGCAAAATGCCACCTTATTAAAATGGGCAGCCAGACTCCACAGTAGTTCATACTCTGGAGAGCTCTGGGATTAAAGAACAGCACTGCATGCAGTTTAAACTCCCTGGACAGCTTATCTTTTCAAAACCAAAGCTTAACACAAAAGAAAGAGCAGGGAAAGAGATAGGAAAGGTGGCCGGGCAACACCCACCTCCAGGAAAGCTTTGTGAAACACTTCAGACACGTAAAGTGGTAGTCCACCGCCTGCAAGGATACCTGGAAAAGAGCACAGAAGGTGCATTGGTGGAGCCCACATGGCTCCTGCCAGGGCCCCTCCTGGGCCCAGGCTCCGGGCAGATGTGCCTCCACATCTGCTGGCCCTGGCAGGGGGAGCCGGTGCGGATGCCCATGGCCCAGGTGTCCGAAGAGAGTCCGCCCTTCCGGTGGGATGCTGTGTTACACAAAAGCCTGCGCACTGCGGGGCACTGCAGGCCACGATGTGAGAGGAGCTCCCTCCGTGGGCCAGGCCATCATTGCAGGTGAGACAGACAGCCAAACTCGGGAATGAGAGCAAGGCCCGCTTGCGTGACGTGGGTATTGGGCACAATCGCACTGTGCACAAGCTGCGCCCTTCTGGACTGACCTGGCAGACTGGCCCGCTCAGGGCTGAAGATGTCCCTCAGCCCCATGCGCTGCAGCTTCTCCTTCATGCTGAAGCTGTCCTCTATCTTGAACCGGGGCAGGTGCAGGGCGAGGAGAACCTCTTCCAGGGAGTTCAGCCAGTCGTCCAGCTTCTGCGATGTCAGCTCCCGTTCCACTTGAGCCAGGGGCGTGCCAACGTAGGGCAGGATGAGGACCATGCTCACGTCGTTCCCTTTGTAGGGCAGCTCCAGCACCTGCACGTTGGCGCTCGGGACGAACGCGTGGCGGAATTTGCCTTCCTGGTACATCATCGGCGCTTGGCAGGGCCCAGCAATGGTTCTGTGGAAAGGATCCATCTTGGTGTTTTCAGGGTGGAACTTGGATTCCCAGTGGCCCTGGAGGAGCGCGTCAAAAGCAAACACAACCGTTGGCAAACTGCCGGTGAGCTGGCTGGCACGATTCACGTTGGCCCAACTTATACCTGTCCCGTCCCTATTTGAGATGTTTGAATCAAGAAAAATTACCCCACGTAGCTTTGTCTCACTGCTGCTTCCTGATGGCTCCTCTGCCCCAGAATGCGAGGTGAATTCTGATTCCATCCCGCCAAACCTCAAGAAAATATTGCACTATTTGGTTCATGTGGCTTTTCCCGATCACACCACCGCAAATTAATCCCTAACAGCCGCGGGGTGAAACAGGAGTCCTCCAGCACCACCCTGGGGATAGGAGAGACCAAAAACCGCTGGAAAACCAAGTCCAGTGCAGGCCGGCGATCAAGCAGTTGTTGGTCAACAGTATTGAAAGCGCGGAGAGGCTCAGAAGGGCTATGCGCCTCCCATCCATTTCCTGGCACACGCCATCCCCACGATGACCAGAGCGCTTTCTGCCCCGCAACAGGCCCAGGATCTGAGGAGAATGGATCTGGCTAATCGCCATCGCCCAGCGCTGCCTGGGCTGGTGAGAAGCGTGACAGGGCCGGGTGGCGCCTGAAGCCATGGGCCCACATGGGCCTCAGCACAGCCCCTGCCCACACTGTGAGATCCTCACCATTCCTCTGGGGCGGCCCAAGCACCAGCCCAGCTCAGCTTTCCCAAGTCAGAAAGGGCAAGGGTCCCAGGAGCATGGATCCCGCCTCAGGCCTCCACCCTGCCTGCCCCACGCGACCCAGGATGACCGGAGCTTGCACTGGCCCCGCTCCGCTCCAGCTCTGCCAAGGCGGTGGCATGAACCGGCAGAACGGGACAAGAAGCTTCTTGCTCATGGACTCTGAGACAGCAGGGGCACCGCCTGCCAGCGCCACTGAAGGGCCGATTCACGGGCCGCAGGAAAAGCTGGCCGCCGGCTGAAAGATGCAGCTCGCGGCGCGTCTTGTGGAAATTTTGTTATCACTGGAGAATGGTGCAGGGCCCCCTGCTCCTTTTAGGCTCATAGCATGGGGGGCACCAAAGCCCCCCTGCAGCCCATGTGGTGATCCCATCCAAAGCAGCCTCCCTGCCGATACTCCTGGCAGAAGTACAAAAGCCGCATCTGTGTGGGCCCGCGGTGAGGCCTCCAAATCACCCTTTCATCCGTGGTCAAGAATTGGTGCCCGGACACCTTTCCTCCCCTGGCAGCCCTATTTGAATAGCTGGCACACCGTGGGGTCTGGTTGCCAGTGCAAGTCAGGGCAGCCCAAAATTGTCAAGGGGCCTAATGGGGCTCCGTCCCAATTTTTTAAAGGCGGCGAGGCCTTTTACTCAGCAGGAGGACCCCCCCGTGTGGCAGGTTTCCCCGTGCCTCCAGGTATGAGCGAGACTCCGCAGGTCAAGTGCGGAGGGAGGGTCCCCTTCTGTGGCCGCCCATTCCCTGGCGCTTGTGGACGGGGGACATGCGGAAGTCCCGGGGCAGCGGCGGCCCTCCCTCTTACTGTTATCATCAATGCAGCACGACCCACTTTTCCGTGGGGCCATTCCTGTTGCCCCAGTTCTCAGGGCCTGATTCAAGGGAGGCACCTGCCCTTCCTGTTGAAGGCACTCCGCCCCTCGGGAGAGGCCTCCTTGCACCCTTCGGCAGGCGGCTCTCTCGTGCACGCTCGCTCTGCGGAATGGCACACCGTTTCTGTACCTTAAAGAAAATGGTGTTGACTAGGACCAAAACCGTGCTCTCGTCGATGGCACCTTCCGGGACCACGTTCAGAATGCGCCTCTCTGTAGCATTTGCCACCCATTCATTTATGACCCTTCTAGATGACTCCGGCTTCTCCTGAAAATAAATTCATAAATCGATATTAGGAAAAGGGCCTTTGCACAAACTTCACCAAGGCAGCAAACCAAGGGGAGGGGGAGAGGAGAGTGACATCGCGAAGGGCTGCGGAGGAGTCTGCAGATGCACCTGAGCACTGATTCAGGTGGCAGTCCGACAGGCGGTGCCCTCGAGGACGGGGGTCTCCGAGCCAAGAGGCGAGGGGTCACCCTATCCCTCCTGCCATGAGGCATATTTTGAATTTTGGGGGGCAGCAGGAGGAGGCTGTGCAGCCTGCAGGATCTCTCCCCCCACCCCCCCAGCCCAGCCCTTTGCACCCTCTGCACGGCTGCTTTCCCGGCCTGAGAGGGGAGCTGGCAGGTGCTTTGCACAGGCAGGAGGGGAGGCGGGTTTGCTCTCCGGCTCCCTCTTCCCAGGGAACCTGACCTGCCCCTGGCCCCTCGGGGGCGGGCTGGCTGGCTGGCTCCCCGGCTGAGGACTGGAACCTCCCCCAGTGTGGGCTGCTGGCCATCCTCTGTGCCATGGCCTACGTCTTCGTCCCTCAGGCACCAGGCTCCAAAGTGGGGACCGAAAATCTCTCGTTAAAGGACGACTGTGGACAAAGCCATCCACTTCGTTAGGAAACCAAGTGGCTGAGCAGGTCTCCCAGGGCTGTGGAAACTGACCAGCTGCCAGCACAGGCAGGATTTTAACGGCCCATAAGACCTTGCGTCCTGCTCAGTTGGAAGGACAGAAGGATTAAAAAGGCAGGGAAAAGCTATGAGGACCCTTTCTTTTTTTTTTGGCTGTGTCAGAAACAGGACGCACGAGCATCCGAGGCATGACGCATGGAGAGCCTGCACATTCATGGCAGTGTGAACATGAACAGCTGCCATTTGTATCATTATGTAATGACCAGAATCAGTGGCTACACAAATATATTTACAAAGCCTTTGAAAAAAGGACAGCCCAGATGAAGAACAGGAGGAGGGGCAAAAAGGAGGAGGAAATCACAGGCGAGCCCTTGTGCTGCTGGGGGAGCAAAAGTCGCGCTAGGGAAGCTGAGGGCAGCCACCACCGAAACACGTGGCAACCGTTTGACTGACGCCCACAAGCCCCCTCCAGCCACGAATGCCTGGCAGCAAGAGGAGCTTCGGACGCAGTCCCAGTTCTTGCCACCGACCCTCCCAGATGTGCAAGACTCACTCGGAAGTTCACAGGCAAGAGTTTCGCTCCGTAGATCAGCTCGCTGACGTTCTGGTAGGTCTCATTGAAGATCAGGGACTTCTCCCCAAAGAGGCGGTTTGCTGACACCAGCTCAGAGGATTTGTTGATCTTCTTGTAAAGTTGGCAATTCAGTTTGGCGAAGAAGAAGTGGACCTGATCCGACGTCTTTTCTGAAAAGGTGTCGAACTTGAACACCTGGAGAAACAGAGCAAGGAGAGAGACAACTGGCGAACAGGCAGGGGACGTGGGCCAGGTGTGTTGCTTTCTGGGCAGCCAGTTCGCACTGGGAGAGAGAAGGACTCAGTTCTACATCACAAAGGCACCTTTGCATCTCTCTTCTGTGTGTTTGTGGCAGGTGGCAATATAATTGGAAGCCAGAGTCCTGGTGTGCAGGGACGCTTGCTTAGGCAGAGAGGTGCTTAGGAAATAGGTTTAGGGACCGTCTGTGCTGACTGCACTCCCCACAGGCAGCGGCCCCTGCCTTGGCTTCACGTCTATGAACACCGCGGCACCTCTGGATAGGGGTCTGTGAGTGGGCCAGTACTGGAAGCGGTGGCCGGAAAAGGCAGGGAGGGCGTAATTCCCTGGGAATTATGTGCAAGCCCTACTGAGATGCCGAGCAGCCAAGCAAGACCGCCAAGTAGCTTGCGTGGCTAGTCCAGGGGATCTCAACATTGCTTCTCCTGATCTGCTCCAAGGATCTGTCTGGTCGCCATGCTTCCTGGCCAGAAGGACAAAACTCTATTTCATTTGTCAATTGATTTTGGCAATTGAAAGCTTGCAGCTGAGATTTTGGAACCTTCACCCGCATATCCAGCCCAAGGGGGGTGGAGAGGTGGACAGGTGTTACGTCGGGTATTACAGATATTGCGGCATGAGCAACATTCGTGCAAAAGGCCAACACAAGAAAATACTGTCAGACAAAGGCAAGTGCATCCATTCAAGGGGCCTTCATTCCAGCAGCTGTACCAGAGGGGCGGAAATTCCTATGCTCACACATCTGCCCTAGCTGTGAGGTTGTGGTGAAAAGGGGCCAAGGTGCTGCTCTCCGACCTGAGCTGTGGGGACCGAACTGGCTAGGTGAAGGGGAAGCAGCCCTGCTCGGAGAGCGCGGCTTGCCCTGAAGCAGCTGCCGGGCCGGGCGCCCGAGCGTCTCCCCCGTTACCGTCATGAGCTGCTGGAGGGTGTCTCCACAGGCCCCCAGCTTGGTCATGGCGAAGGCTGTGGAGATGCTGAGCGGGGAGAGGAAGATGTTCTGATCAGCATCCTTGGAGAGGGCCAGATCCTGGTAGAAGGTGGTGGCGAAGCGGTTATTGGCCTTGGACAGCTCCCAGACCCGGGGGTTGACGGAGGGGGGGATGTTCGCAGGCACGGCGCTCTTCCCTTCCTGCAGCCTCTTGTTGGGGTTGCGGTAGATGCAGACGGGGTTCACGGCAATGTCCTTGGGCTTGGCAGTGCACACGTCCAGCACGGAGCGGGGGTGCAGAGCCACGGCCGACCACAGGCCGGCGAAGACCAGTATGGAAAGCTGCATCTTCCTGCCAGCAAGAGAGAGGTGGGGAGTGAAAGGCGAAGAGCCGCGTATTGTGCAGGCGGGGAGGACCCCCCCCCTCCCCCGTGAAGCACACAAGGGTCCTGCTTGGCCATGGGACCCCCCGGAGGAGCGAGCACGTGAAGAACGGTGGGACCCGAGATCCGTGCCTCCCATCACTCGGGCCCCTTGCTGGCTTCTGCCTCTGGTGCAAGCCCTTGTCCTGTGCAGAGCCCGCCAGCCCCAGCCCATTTGCTCTCGGCGCTCACGGCCTGTGAGCGGAGCCCTCTAACTCCACCGCTCCCAGCCAGCCAGCGCCGCTTCCTTCCGGACAGGCCCACCTCTCGTTCTGCCTCCAGCCCCGCACGTGTGAGTGACGCCACTTCCTGTACGCCACGTTCTGCGGCTGAGCTTTAATACCCCTTCATGACAAACCAGACGTTAAGCACCTCTGTTTTAGACCGTAAGCTCCCTGGAGGCAGAGACTCAGCTATTTTGCCAGCGTGGCTACAGAAAATGATCCTGTGGCCAGAATCTGCTGTGACCACAGAAGGCCAATGATCGTTCTTTCGAAGTCTTGCGTGGCCAGGAGATCCACCCTCCTTCCGATGTAGGAGCCCCATGATGAGGAATTTGTGTGTACTTTGTCGCACTTGGTTGTTATTATATGCTTGGGAGCTGGCAAATAGCAGTTGACACTTTAAAAATAGCTGGCCCACATTTTGCATCAAGTGCGATCTGTGCTTGGGATGGTCCCTTTATCTGCCAAGGAAATTAAAAAGTTGCATCCCTCTGCAGCAAGTGCAGCATTAGGGCCACCTGTGCAGGCTTAAGGCTTCGCCGTTGTTCGAAGGGAGCTGGTAGGACTGACAGGCGGCTCGCACGGGGCGAAGCTCGCACACTGAGCAGCCGGTGCCAGTTTTGCAAGCACCTTTGAAGCAACCAAACTTAATTTCCGTAGGTGCAAACTTAAAAAAAGGTAATGTGTCAATATGCCCGTAGCTGATGGGTCAGCATTGCTTATACCACAAGGAGGTGGGCTAGGCAGCCATTGCTCTGGTCCCTACAGGAAATGCGTGAAAAAATTCAAGTGGCTTTCCAATCAGCAGGGAGCATTTTTTTTAAGATTAGGAAAATTCCTTGATTGTTAAGGCCATCTCTTGTGTGGAAGAGAGCAGATGCTGTGAAAAATTCTATATATGGCGAGCCTGGGGCGGTCAGGCCTGATGGCGGCAGGACCTGCTTGCCCCGTGTGCCTGTTTGCAGGTTATCTGGGCCCCTGGGCTGGGCAAAAGACCTGTGTGTCCAGCGTGTTGTTTCCCCCCGCGGCTGGCTTTTGGAGACGTGTTGTCTCTGCCCAAGGAAACACTCTTCCAGGAAGCCTGGCAGACACGGATGGCCTCATCAGCATTATGTTGTTAAATCCACTCTGAAGCCACGTACCTTGGTGGCCGTGAAGAAATGCTTTGTTTTGTCTATCCTGAATCTTCTACTTTTCATCCTCAGGAATTCAGCTACTATGAGGAAATTTTCTATATTCTCACTCCAAGCATAGTTTTATCAACCACTAATGTATCTCCTTTTCACTGCCCCATTTCCCCTCTTAAAAAGCAGCTCAAGGCAGTTGGGTGGAAATATTCAAATAGCTGCAACACTACAGTAAAGCTACGAATTACCATAACTGGTCATTTGCTGCCATTTAATGGTATTCCCTGGACTGCAAGGCGATCAAACCAGTCAGTTCTAGAGGAGATCAACCCTGACTGCTCTTTAGAAGGCCAGATCCTGAAGATGAAACTCACAATACTTTGGCCACCTAATGAGAAGGAAGGACTCCCTGGAGAAGACCCTGATGCTGGGAACGATTGAGGGCAAAAGAAGAAGGGGACGGCAGAGTGAGGCGGCTGGATGGGGTCACAGAAGCAGTCGGCGTGAGCTTGGGTGGACTCCGGGGGATGGTGGAGGACAGGAAGGACTGGAGGAGCGTTGTTCAAGGGGTCGCAATGGGTTGGACACAACTTCGCGACCAACAACAGCAATGGTACCCCCCCAAAATCTCCCACCTGGGGCACGTTGCCACCCCTTGCTGAAGGGTTGTGCTGGGCTGCCCAGAAACAGCGAAGAAATGAGATCTCCAGTTAACGTATTTTGGGACAGAGCTAGAACTTGTGAAATGATACATCAAGAAATCATGAATACGTAACACTTATTTTCCCTTATTCAAATTATGGCCTCTTTCTTCTGATGCAAGTTACCACTTATTTTTCTTGTTTTCTACAGCTTAGTGAGACTGAAACATAGTTAACCCCAGAGCCAAGATCTCTTACCTCCGTCCTGTACTTCCTTGTCAGTAAACTGCAGTGAGCTGGGGATGGGCTTTTGTGCTTCAGACGCAGGACGGTCCCAAATGGAGAAATGTTTTCTTGGCTGAGTTTTCGGTCTCAGCCTGAGCCAAAACAAGGAGCGGGGAGGGGAAAGTGGGAGGGGAGGCCATGGAAGGTCAAAGGCTAGTGACCAGTTAAAGCAAGTTAAACAAATAGTGGGGCGAAGCAGTACTTGAGCAGAGCGCAGCTTTAATGTTCAACTGGATGCAGGAATGCTTGACACTGTGGGACGCACACCCGACTGCAGGCTTCCGCCGAGCAGCAGTGGGAAGTCATTTCAGAAGCAGGCCTCTCGTTCCTTCCCTGCCCACGTGCCAAGATGCTTTCCAGCAGATGGGCAGGGCTTCCAAGTGGCTGCTCCTATGGGTCAAGGCGAGGGTCTTCTGGAGGAAGAGGAGTGATAAAAAGGACCACCCAGCAGGCAGGCCTTCTTAAGCGCACTGGGATTGCAACTGTGGCCCCTCCAGAAAGAACCCCTTTGGGGATTTAACCCCCTTCCCTGTATGTGAAGCGGCTCCCATCCGTCCGACCCACATGCTTTGCAGAAGCAATCCTGAGTAAGCCCCATCTCCATGCACCATGTACAAGTGCTTTTCGGGAAGCACATTTGGCAGCAGGCGGCTGTGATGGTTCAACCAAGACTTCACCGAGAGGAGGAGGTGCTGCTTCAACCAGTTGAATGGAGACAACAGCTGGGACCCTCTGGACCAAGTCCGTTAGCTCTTCTGCACTTAAGTATTATGCAGCCCCAAATGCATCGTTTTAGGACATATTCGGCTTGATGACCAGCCTCCAGGTATTTTTAAACGCTCACCTGGATCCTTTTCAAACTTGTTTCAACTAGAAAGGGCACGGTCATCGTGGTGGATGACTTCTGCTGTTGGACCAAGGGAGCCAGTCTCTGTGGGGCATCTGAGTGAAAGATGAGAAGGCTGAGGATTCAAAGGGGCAGCTGGGACAAGGAACCATTTACGACGACTATGCACAAGAGTCTCTTCCCTCTGTGTTTCCTTAAAATTACACTCCAAGCAGGAAACATTTGATTGGGAGAAGGTGGACTGATTCTGCTTACCTTTCCATTACCAGCTGTTTTCTTCCTCTCCAACTAATACCCAGGCCTCCTTTTTGTCTTTACGCCTTGCAACCTACCTTCCAAATTGTGGGTTTGTGGTGACAGATCATCTAGTTCCTTCAGCAAAATGTCAGTTGCTTTGGAAGCCATTTCAGGGAAGCTCAGCAGTTGGCCCACTGAAGGGTGTGGGCAAATAGTGAAACCTTCTGTCTGGACACTGAAGACTTTTTTGAAGGAGTGTCAATGTGCGAATCTGATGCCAGGCACTTTCATTTTGCAGATCATCCTACCATGTTTACTCATGAAGGCAAATCAAGGAAGACCACTGACCACACTTGGTTTTGGGCCTGGGACCCCCAAGCCACCTCCCATGGTGGCCCTCACCTGGTTGCTTTTTCATTGCTAGCAGAAGCAATGAGAAAAGGGTGACCTATTTATTTATTTAGGCTTCTATGCCACCCCATTCGCTGAAGGCTCGGGGCGGCTCACAATAATAAATAAATAAGAATATTATAAAACAATTTGAGTCGACCTGGCCCAAAAAATAAAATAAATAATATTAACAATTAAAATAGCATTTGAATAAAAAGGTCTTTGCCTGGCGCCGAAAAACAAATGACGGCAGCACCAGGCGGACCTCTCTGGGGAGCGCATTCCATACATGGGGCGCCACCGCAGAGAAAGCCCTCCTCTGAGTACCTACCCTCCTAATTTCCTTCACAGAGGGCTCCCGGAGAAGGACCTCTCCCGCAGATCTCAGGGGGCGGGCGGGCAGGCATATATGGACGTAAGCGCTCCTTCAGGTAGCCAGGACCCAAGCCATTTAGGGCTTTATAGGTCATCACCAACACCTTGAATTGGGCCCGGACTTCAATGGGGAGCCAGTGAAGCTGACGGAGGACTGGAGTCATGTGAGCATAACGCCCCGTCCCTGTCAGCAGCCTATGTCAGGACTGTTGGGGTGGGGAGGTGGAGAGGGACCTCCGCTCCCTCTCCCAGAGAAGGCTGTGCCAGAACCAGTGGGAAACTCTGTGTGTGTGACCTTCTGTGTGCTCGCAGAGAGCCGCTCTTTGTAGGAAGTGGCTGCAGAGCAGGGCAGGCCTTCAGTGTGATGCAAGATGGTTCCCGGTTTGTCCCTGAGCTGGTGTCAGAGGCAGCCTTCGGGATGGTGCACGTCTGTATTGGAGGGTGCGGCAGGATGGGGGGGAGGCAAAGGGAAGGGGGGACGAATAGGCGTTTTTGTAACAGCTGCTGCACCTGCGAATTCACAAGTCACTCACACAATATTCAGGAGTCGTCTTTATTACCAGCATCACCCTAGTCTAATTTTTTATTTTTTTATTTTTTTTGTTAAATATACCTCTGCAGGGCACAATCACATACAATCAATACGATTGGTAAATTACATGAGCTCCATCCCAAGCATATATGCACCAAAATGTCAAAAAGTTATTAAAAAAAATGAACTCCACCCAAAAAGGTGATGACTTAAGAATGTCTCGGGGAGACTGGTACAACCCTAAAAAGACCAAAGGAAACTTGGCTTAACACCCCCCCCCCCACGCACACACACAACCATAAAGAATGCACACACATATAGAGAAATCCCACAACTGGAAGTGGCCAGGGGATGCTGAGGAGGGAGGGGGCCGGCCTGATGAGCAGAGGGGGGGCAGACTCGGGCGGTGGCTCGCCGCACCCTGAAAGCGGACCAAAGCGCCACCATGCTGCTGGAGGGGCGCCTTTAAGGAAAGGGGGGGTGGCTAGCAAAGAGCTGCTTACATAGCAAGCAGAGACTGAAGGCAATGGGCAGCAGAGAATTCCCCTGGGCGCAGGGCAAAGAGCCTGAAACGGGGGGCTGGAAACGCACCCCCCGCCCCGCTGCCCCGCGTGCCCAGGCAGTTTGTCACGCGTGAAGCTTGGAAAGCGCTCCCTACGCAAATCCAGTTGTGGGATTCCGATCCAGGTACACAATCTGGTTTTGGATGCCAAAGACTTGTGAGTACTGTCTGCCACAACAAACTAACAGGAACGACAGGAGGCACGGCGATGGCCTCTTGCAGGCGTCCGGTGCATTCCACGGGACTCGTGCGGAGGCCATTCCCAAGTACAGCTGTGCCCAAAGTCACTTTAACATACACAAAAGCAAACAAATTTTGTTTATAGCAAACACCAAATACTCCACAGGATGTTGTTTTTTCATAAAGATACATGTAACATCAGCATATCTAATACTTTAATTTTAGAGAGAGAGAGAGAGAGCATTATAGCATTACACTTTTACCCCCTTTAATATTGTTCACCTCCAAAAGTAGATACGTTTCTAATGTGAAAAAAGCATCAAACAGCTCTAAGTACGCAAGTTATTTAGACACAAGTGACTAATGTGAGGCATCAGAACTAAAGCTACCTAGGCAACAAAGGTTAACTGTAGTTATTACTGAGCTCTTCAGATATTACAACAAAAGATGAGCCTTTCCCAAAGGGGGGGGGGGGGCACACTGTTATTTCAGCCATCACATTTTCCTTTAAAATTAAGAAACTCTGTTGTTGTATTCAATGCAATATATACCACAGAAACCCCACAGGAGTGGTGGGAGAACGGAGGGTGACTTTGGACAATACCAACATGGCCTTACAAAGCTACCCTTCTGTTACGCGCAGGGCTATGTCCAGGCTGAACTGGAGGAAACTGGGTTAAATCAGAGTGCTTTTTCATTTTTCGTAATTACCCTGATGCATTTTGAACAACTGAGCCAGAAAAATATGGAGTAACTGTTTTCCCTGAAGCGGCAGCTGCTGCATATTCAAGATGAATTCCAGAGCAGCTTAAGATCAGACTGAAAACCAGGCTGATAAGTGAGTGAGAAGAACACTTCGTAGTGCTTTCTACAGCACAAAAAGGCTCATTCCACGCCCTCCAAAGGATTTAGTTTCTAGTACTGTCCCACAATTGCAGCATTCCGGTACAGAGACTGGTCTAGTCTCATGCAATTTATGATTCAATCAAGCACGGCTACGGATGTTAACTGTGTGCGTGACTGAAAGTTCAACTATACATTTCTGAAAGCCTCTTTTGTGATGTGCACATCAGGGGGAAGTGGCACAGTACAAGAAATCATCTGCATCCAGATTTCATAGTTAGCTGCTGTTTAATGTTCCAAGTGAGCCTCAGCCAATCTTGGGATCGCGCTCCCTGTCCCCTCCCGGCACAGCCATGAGATTGGCCAAGAGAGACCGTGTCTGCTTTTGATTAGCAAATTGTCTGACCCCACAAATGGAGCTCCTCTTCATTCCTAGCTTTTGAACAAAACCAGCTTCATACATCAGGGTTTGAAACTGGCTTATTTCAATAAACCATAGTTAAGATTAGTGTTAATCCAGTCTTGGATGGATACATCAAGCAGGAGTTAACAGAGAAGAGGAGCAAAAGCTTCCAAACTCTCACGGTTCCTGCAGGGGACAAAAGTTTCAGATCCCAGTACTCACTGGGGGTCATTCGTGTGCTGGCTTACACAAGAACCATGGCTTAACTACCTCCGAATGGGGCCGCTGATGTGACAGGATGTGGCAGTTGGAAGCCTCCCACCCTTTTTCTGGAGCTACTCCTCGAAAAAGTGAGGGTGGAGGCTGCATTCACAATATAAAGCCAAACAGCTGATAGTCATCCAATGGCACCAAGTCTCTCTTAAAATTCTTATCCATACTAATTAATAACATCAAAATTAGTACATAGCAAAATACACTGAGTCAAATAAATATTCTGATTAGAAGCCTGGATAGGGATTGTTAGATTTCAGTCTGGAGGTTAGGAAGTTTGGTGGCAGGTGAAATGCATGCAGATGTGGGACTTCTCACCCAGATGTGGTCCACATGTCCACCATTTACCCCACCCTACTGTAAGGAAAACCGCACGCCTGTAACAGGCTGGGTGTGGACGCGGACGAGCGGACTGGCGGCAGCGTGGTCTTCTGCTGCCTCCAGGACTTTGAAAGGAACAGGCAAAATTTCAAGTCTGCAACCTGGCAAAACTAGTTCTGGAAAAAAGGCAACCTCCCGAGGAAAGAGACCCAGCCATGTGGACCAAACAGCAACTTCCACTAGGAACTAACATGGAAACTGGGGGGATGCGCAACTTCCCTAGGGAAGCCTCCTGTGAGGAAGCCGTGCTCGTTCAGTCAGTAGAACTAACAAGAGTGCTTTCTAACTTTATAGTCCTGCCGTGATAGTGGATTCACGTGCGAATTCCTGATCAGGCAGCATTCCGAAGAGATCCTGCACCCAGACAGCACAGACCCACCTGTCTGATCACACGCAGCATGTTTGCATGCATTCGCTTCTGCAGCCTCATTACAGCGAGTGCTGCGTCTATTGAGAGTTTTTATTTAGTCTCTTTAAACCTTCCTTATACTTATTTTTAATAAAGCTCAATAGAAAATTTCAAGCAGGAACTATGAAAACAAACAGTAACTTTTTAAAAATAAGCCCTTTCCTTGCTAGTTGTAAACTGAAGAGAGGTGGGAGAGTGTTCAAGCATTTTCTTAACAAAAAAAGATGAAGGAGTTAGATAAATGGCTGCAAATGTAACAATGCTTAAACACATCACTTCTGAAATGTGTTAATAATTCACCATCACTGAACATGTGTTTTGTAAGGCTTGACAATCACAAGCTGTTGTATCTTTCTACCAGTGTTAAGAGCTGAAAACATAAACATCACAAGATTTTCAATCCAAACTGGCTAACCCAGCGAAATGAATAGAGAAAAGGAAAAAAATCCCTAACAAACCAAGAGTAAAGCACAAGTCTTTGGCTCTCCATGAATGAAAAAGGGCATTTTCCACATTTATACAGACCCCCCCTTATTTGCCTACCAGTAGGGGCAATACCACATTTGTGCATCACTGAGTAATGACACCATTAGAAAAGGCAACTTCACAGAAGTTATTGGCTAAGCAAATTCATCTGAATGCGCTATTTTGAGGCAGCAAGCTGTCAACTGGTGCGTGGTAAGGGAGAGTGGCGGGCACATCAGAAGACTACGATGAAACAACAGGAAGCACAGCAAAGTCAGAACAGATACGTTAAGTCCCCATTGGCTAAAAGCATTTAGACTAATCTGAAAGAGGAGCAAAACCCATTTCATAATTACTTCAAGGACAGTGGGAATTACATCTTTTCATACACTGAATGAATTTATTTAAGATTATTCTGAAGTCTGGGTCCCTCAGTCACTTCCGGATTTACCTGTAATGCTTCAGAAATTACATTACGTCAGAAATTACAAGAAATTGCCTATCTTGGAATTAAATTTTGTTCTAATCACAAAGGAGTGTTCAAGTGAGTAGACACAACTATGCCTATCTTATGTCAGAGCATCTAAATATTCCAAGAATATGAAGGAGTCAGCAGTCTGGCACCCTCCAGATGTTCTGCATTACAACTCCCATCAGTACTAGCCAAAATGGCTAAAGGTCAGGGGTTAGCGGAGCTGTAGTCCCAAACTCCTGGAGAGAACCAAGTTGCAATACAGGTCTAAGTGGAAACGTCACTTAGTTCATGTGATAAAACAACAACGTAACGGATTTACTCCTTACACTGCTACACCGGCCAATAGCCGAAGCTTTCTGGGCGGAATGAAAGTGGTAATCTACAAAATGGTTCATTAATCAATAGTGATGGATGTTATTCTTAATTTTGCAGAGAAAAATGTGATAAAGACCCAAGCATAGTATACATGAAGGAAGGAGGGTGTTGTAACGGTTTAGCCATGTATATTCGTCTCACTGTTTCCCCATTTCTTAATTGCTACAAGGCAAAGCTTTTTAGAGTCCAAAGGTACAGAATCTGAAGTTAATGTGAAAGCAAACACGCAGAACTCCGAAAGACCAGTGTGCAGTCTTTCCACAGCTCCGGAATGCTGCCAGCCTGTAGAAATGGCATGCAAAGAAATCTCCTCTGAAGCAGGGGTCTCTAGAGATGTTCTATTTTTAAAATATATGTGCCTCTAGCTCCAATTAATATTCTGAAAATAGCTTTTTGAAAGCCACAGAAATTATTGCACAGCAGTTGTTTCTCGGTTAAAATTTCCCTCCATCTCCTTACCAGAGAAACAAGGATTATGCCCACCCCCACCCTTCTCTGAAATGGCATTGCAGGGTTTCAGTATGCAGACCTGAGAAGTAGATTATAAAAGGAAGGATAAGAACTACATTATTACAGATTTTTCTACTTGAAAGGCAATACATTTTATCTAAACATTTTAAAAAAAATGTAAAGTCTTTCCTAGGTCCCTATCTGTTCACCCTTGCTGATGAAATTGCACAGAACTGAGGGAAAAGAGGAAACTAAGCCAAGATCAATGTGGTTTACAGAGGTTAAACAAAACCATTTCCTTGTGCAAACAGGACATTAACCTACATAGTACATCACGCACAAAGTACAGGTCTGGGCAGGTGATGGGACAAATACTAAGAAATGTTCTTTATAAGCTCATGTTCAGAGCACGCAGTTTTATGGCAGAAACATTTCCAGAGTGGTCAGTAATAGGATTTTCTGAGCCATTGGCCCGTTTCCCCCTGAGTTCAATGCATGCAGCTGGGAGAGGAGGTGCTTCTACAGTCTGCGCTTTCTGCAAGGCCTCTGACCGTGAGCGCAAGTCAATGCACATGCAGTGTGAACATGCAGAAATGAATCTGCTTGCTTTGCACAGGGAAAGTCACTGTTTTCTCTCTCTCTCTCTCTCTCTCTCCCTCTCCCTCTCCCTCTCCCTCTCTCACTCACTCAAAGGGAGCACCTGCAAAAATAAGGCTGCAGGACAGATGTACTGGATGTTCGTTCCTAGACCAGGGTGAGACAACTATTCTGGGCAAGGCGCTTCCTATCAGGGAGGGCATCCTGCAAGCTTTGTATGTTAGGTGACGTGACCAGCAAAATAATATTATATTTCAGGACAGAGTTAGCCGAGTACTGGCGTGCTTCACTGCTCCCCTCACCGGGTGCCACGTGGGCTCCCACATGAGCAACCTCCGTGAAAAGAAGAACCTGCACTGCTATCGGGACTCCAGTGGAAGGTGGGCTGAAGAAGGAAGGGACAGGCATTTCTTGTGTTAGAGCCGAGATAAAGTGGAGTGGGAGTTTTAAGAGGAGTAGGAGAAACGAGAGTCTAAATGCTTTTTGAGATAAATTTTCTGTGCCTCTACCTCCCAGATGTTTTATAACAGCTGTACTCATGTGAAAAAATTCTTAAAACATACCCAATATATATATACAGATATAACTACATATATACGCATATGTGTGTGTGTGTATATACACACACACACAAACACACATATATATAATTTTTATTTAAATAAAAAATGAATGCTCGATTCCCAAGCCAATATGTATACCAAATTTTTGGCCAGCCAGGTCTGTAGGGCATAATCAAATTCAATGTGAAATAGTATATACATGCGGTGCCTTGACTGGGCAAATTAAATAGTCACTACTCAAAAGAGTTTTCTGCTTGGACACTCCTACTGGTAGGCAAGAGAGGGCCTGCGTTCCCCCCGTTTTTTCTTCTTGAACAGTTAAGACAGATGCAAAACAGCTGAAAGGTGTTTTGGCCTTAATGGACCTTAAGGGAAGAGAAATAACCTAAAACAAGATTAATCAACTTCTGCTTTTACCCAACCAAAGCAATGCTTCAACTTATTACATAGCCAGTGTGTTTTGAGTTTTAGTAGTCTAATTCATAGGCAGAATCAGGCCTGAGAGATGTGAGGAAGCAGTTGCTAAGATGCCCACGCAGCGCTCCTCCCCAGAGGAGGTGCAGGTCAGCGGGAAAGAGGAGGGAGGGAGGAAGCCAAAATGCACCCCGCATGTGTACGACCTCTGCCCGCAACAGCCTGTTTATGGCCGTCATCCATGAAACCACATCTGTCAACACAAGAATGGCTTCCGTCTCGTGCAGGCTCCAAAAAGAGCTGCTGGACGAGTGCTGCTTTCTTGGAAGCCGCTCCTCCTCACGCAGGAAGTTTCGACAATTCAGTGCGCAGTGAGAGCAACACCTTCCCCAAAGAGAGGCCCACGACTTCCAAGAACAGCTCTCCAAGCAGCAAGGAAGGGAGGTGCCTGATGGCCCTGCCGCCTCATCACTCCCGAAAGAGTCAGTTGCCAGCATACACCTGGCGCAGAATCTCACTTCGTCTGCAAATGGAAGTTGCTCCGGACAGATCTGCCCTTCCCATCCTAAACCCCACGTCTGAGGTGGCTCTTCACCCACTTCCAGATTCCTCTCGAGGCTGGTTTAGGGTTCAGCTGCCATTGCCTTTAATCTGCGTATCGGTGCAGGTGGAACTGGGATCTGACAGTATTGGCCGATTTACACTGACTGGTGGGCCAGGCCACTCCACACTTTTCTGAAGTGGAAAAAGCAATCCCTGAGGTCTCGTGTGTCCTATGCCGTTAGCGACCGTGGAGGCGACGATCAACACGTCACCGCCTGAAGTTCAAAAGCGATCGTGGTTAGAAAAATGCAATGAAAAGGATCTAGCCTCTACACAGAGAGTTACTTTCAAAAACGCTGCTACACATCTTCCGATCAGGCAATTTAGAGCTTCCTCCTCCATCTCGTATTCCCTATTTTCCTTTCAAACTCACACAAAGCAGTGACGGGTGAGCTTGTTTTGAAGGAAGGAGGAAAAAGGCCTAGGAATTATACACTGGGTATGTAATAATACCAAAATAAAAGAGAAAACCTACCTCATTAAGATCATACAATTAATCAAACAGAGTGTGTGTGTATTATATATATATATACACATATATATATAATATCTGTTTCTTTTAAAGCCCTGGCATTCAAGGCATCCAAAGTTATTAAAATAAAGTTCATTCACAGAACAAAAACAAATTTAATTTGAGTTGCTTGCAGATACTGCTAATTTTCATTTTTTTAATTAAAAAATGTGTTAATGTGAACTATGTGCAGGGTTTGTTGCTAGTCGTGGTGGTGTGCACATTGTCTCAGGACCTGCTGTTGCTGCTGCGGCTGCTGCCCCAGTCCTGGCTCACGGTCTCCCGAGGAGGGCCGGTGATCTCTGGGACGAGCGGGGGGACACACGGGCCCCGCCGTTCAGGGGGCAGAGGAGGGCGCCGCTCCAGTCCTCTGGATGTCCTGGTCGCCTCCTCCCCCTTCAGCACTTTCCGACAAGCTCAGAGCTGCAGTTTTGTTCAAAAGAAGGCCAATGTTTTCTTGGGTTGGGGTGGATCCGTTTGGAACATCGCTGCTGAAGAGAGAATGCCCAAAGGCATGTGTTGGGGGTGGGGAAGGACAGTGGAGGCAGAGTGAGGGGCAGGGGGAAGAACAAGAAGTGAAAAGGAAAAAGAAAGAAAATGGAACTGAGCAAAGTCTGAGCAAAACCTGACTGGCCACGCCAGGAGAAAGGCGATGTCCGGGGCCCCCATGGCACTCCGGATCGCCACCCGTGAGGCCTCCCCGCACTCCCACGTGCAGCGATCACACATTCTCTCCCCTGCAGGCAACCCTGGCACATGCATGCGTGCCCCTCCCGTCTCCTCACAAGCATCCTTTCTCAGGACGCCTCCAAGCCCACCCCTTTTCTCCTTGGCACACACACAGACCCCCCGCATCCGTGCAGGAACGCAACCTGCCCCAACCCCACAGGGTGCTCACAGCCAGCTGCCCCACAGCTCGCTGTTTCCCCATCTCCCCACTTTCACCACCATCCCAGATCCCCAGAGCTGGCTTCCTGCTGACCTTCCTGGCCCTGCTGCCAGACAAGCACTAGCTCTTCCCTTCTTTTTCTTGGTGGAGTGTAACGTAGCGGGAGCAGAGGCCTGCAACTGCCCACCATCTTTATCTGTTAGGAAGGTCTCTGAGCCCTCAAATGTGGTCCAGAGACAGGCATAAGAAATGGAGATGGCAGAGGCTGGAGGCTGCCAATAAATACACGCTCCTTTTGTTTTAAAGCAAGGTGCCTCGGTGGGCCCAAAGAAAGGTATCTGGGATGCACTGGTGCCCACGGGCTCCCTGTTGCCATCCCGGGGCTGTGATGCTCCAGATGGTCCATCAGTAGCAATGCACACACGGACAATGGCGTATGACAGACAAGAAACCTACGTGGGGCCACACCAGAGGCCCTGAATGCTCACTGGCTGAAGACGGGCCGCGTGCAATGGAACACGTGGGCACAAGAGCAGTAGGACTGGCCTCAACTCGTACGTGCTGCATCCTGAGCATTTGCTCTTAGGGCAAAAGGCCTGTCCCAGAAGGACTTCCCCAAACTTTAGAATGCGTTCAGCAGTAAATACCCGAAGCAGACAAAACACACAGAAAGAGGATATGCTTTCCAAGCGTCACATGCATCATGGCACTGTGCCCATACTTATTCCCGCTTCCTTGCCCCTCTCCCTTGGGAGCAGCATCCCAGGGGATAACTCCTTGTCTCAAGCCCAGTGTAGGCAGAGTTAGCACATGGGCAAATGCAATTCTGTTCCTGCCCGTCTTTGCTGCTGTCGCTGTGTTGTTTTAATAACTGTCCATTATGTAACGCCTGGTTTTCAAGTTAGAAAAATTAGACACTCTTATTACAGACACCAGCTGAAGAGCCGCAAGCCAGTTTGCTCGGGGGATTAGTGCTCACTGCAGGCCAGGCACCACTGCAGCCTTCCATTTGCTGTGCGACGGACGTCGAAAATACCAACAAATACTGGTGCTCCGAGTAGAGGGGAAAGAACCGGAGGCATGGTTGCCTCTGGAGCTTGCCAGGTAGCTCAACTCATGCAAAAGGGATAAATCGAGGAATGGTTCTTCTGGGGAGGATGTGATGCCGAAATGGCCAATAATGACATTCTACCCAGTGGGGGAACTCTTCAGAACTGCACTAGAAGGAAACAGAAGGTATTACTGTGGCAGACCAAAGTTTGCAAGTGCCTCTGAGAGTTGGATACCAATAAAAAGTTGTTATACTGGAAGCTGATACAGCCAAAGGTAAATAAACACAATCCCACTGAAATTAAGCAAGTTCCATTGTTACATCTGAAAAAATTGGAGGTTTTTGTCAAGTTAAGTGGCACAATACAAAATAGTTTTCTGAGTTGTCTTGGTGGGGGATGGGAAAAGGATAATGCAATAGCATTTTACCTGAGGTTGCACCTAGAATCTTTTATTATCATTAAATCTCTAAGTCATTCCCAAGCAAATATATTTCAAAGACGGTGCAACTTCTCTGGATCGTTCTAAGGCGGCTACGGTGGCTCCCTGGTGCCATGCTCTTCCTGAAGTGAGCAGACTGACTTAATGGGCCTGGGAGGAGCAAGCTTTTCGGAGGAGCACAATGCTACGCATGCTCCCTTAAGTGCAGTTTCGAGAGCCTGGCCTTCTTTCAGCCAAGTCTGCCACATGAAAACTATTGCACGCAACATGCGGTAACTTAATCTCATTCAAGTGCACCGACAAAACGTTCTGTTACCTGAATGTCAGCGCAAGGTCCTGAGCTGGGATCTTGCTCTGCTGTCCGTTTTCTGTCTGCTTACTGGCGCCCACTTTGCCTTTCACATCGAGTGAAGACTGGTTCTCCTTGGGAAAAGAAAAGAAAAACCTCCAGCTCACTACGTGGGAAGAGCATTTGCAAGCACACTTCCTAAGTGCAGAGAAGAAAGCTGCAGAACTCCAAACCAAGTTTCACAGATCAACTCACACAAAAGCCACAAGGCAAGGGAACATAAACTAGAGGTACCTGTGCTTCTACTCGGTAGGGATAAAAACCTTTGCAAAATGTACCCAGCAGCAAAGACCGAGGAAACCTGTTGCTGAAGGCTTCAAAAGCACCGCACCCTCTGAAACGCTGTCTAACGGATTTTGTGTGCAGTCTGCAACACACCTCTTGCTTAAGAGACGGACTGGCTGGTGACGGACGTGTTTGGTGACACCCAACTGTACAGCCCTCGTATGCACGGCAGTCCACAAAACCACTTTGGAAGCAAGCCCCACAGGCTACCGACATCAGAGCACGGCACTCCAGCCCGGCACGGGCGGCTCGCGCTGGCAGCAGGCGCTCGGCGGCAGCGTCTCCACAGGGCACGAAGCGGCACTGCAACTCACCAGGCGGCGGCGGCGGCTCCCCCTGAGGAACACTCACCATGCTCAGTTCCCGGGTTCTCTTCCCGATTTCCCTCTCCACGTGATGCAGCTCCAAGCTCAGCTGTTCACTGGAGACCATTCCAGGCCACGAAGGAGGAGGTGGTGGTGGGGGCTGTGGCTGGCCTGCCAAGGGGGTCGCCTCCCTCTGCAACAGCAGCCTGTTACTAACAGCCTAAATGCACAAAGCCAAGCACATACACAACTGAGCACACAAAATACACCATGCAGACATGGGAGTCGGGCCAAAATTGAGGAGCATTGTTTGGTTCTCTAAGCCCAACTCCCCCCCCCCATTTTTTTTCACTGGAAACATACAAAATGGCCGTTATTCCCAAGAACACTTCATATGCAGGTGAAGGCTACCTTAAAGCTGAAAGACTGTTGATGAAACGTGCAAAGTTTTTCCAAATGTGAGAAACAGCTCAATCTTTCATTTCTGCTTATTGCTTGAGAAGGGATAACTGGAAACATGTTCTGAGTTAACGGCATGACAAAAACAAACTGCGCTAACTGAAGCCATGCCTTGCTGGATCACATCGAGGGCTCACGAGTCCAGTGTTCATGTTTACCGGCAGCGAATCGCCATCTGGAAGGCCACCAAGTACGGCAAGGTGGCAACAACCATCTTGCTGTGCTTCGCCACTGCCGGGATCTGCAGGATGGTGTGGCCTGCTCAGTGTCCTGACAGAGGAGGCGGCCTGCTTCACCCTGCAAGCACTTGCAGCTGCTTGCAAGGATTAGAACCATCACAAGCAGTTGAGGAGATGCCACGGAGGCTGCTCAGCCCTGCCAGAGCCCTGCCGCAGCAAGAGGCCTCCTGGCGCCAGCTGCTCTGTGCTCCTGATCAGACCGCTACCTCCAGTCCTGCAGCGCTGCACTCAGGTCTTGCCTCCTGCCTCTTCCTGCCTCTGCCTTTGCCGCTGGCCCTGCTATGTTTCGCCACAGTTCTTCCACTTCCATCGCACCTGGTCCTGGTATTCCAGTCCAGGATGCGTGCCACATGCGTCCTGCAGCTGGCCCTCAGCACCGAGTGTGCTCTGAATACGGAGACTCTGCTTCTCTCTCGTGGCCACGGGCCACTGCGAGGCAAGTCCTCTCCTCCCTGAGGCTGGCGGACCCCGCGGCCATCAGTGTGGCAGGCGGCAGCGCGTTAACTGGGCATGATGTGGAAGAAGCATGCTCTCCTGCCACTCCAGATTAGCTGCCTACCAATTTCACTGTGCAGCTGGAAGAAAAGCACGGTTCCGTGCAGAAAAGGAGCTGCAATCCAGACCCTGCGAATGAACAGGAAGCACACAGGCACTGGTCTCCTGGGCTGCCTGCAATCGAGCTGCACCAGGGCTGATTTAACCTAAGTCTGACCTGTAGGGCCAGGCTGCCAATGTGCTGGGGGTATCCAGAAGACATCTGAATATGCTAATATATGCTATATAGATATGCATGCTAATTATATGCTAATAAAGACTCAGCATATAATTATATCAACAGGGATTTGTTTGAGTGATTTCAATTTCCAGGTCAAATCACAGAGATTTCAGATTTAATAATTTAGGAATGTCTGTGTCCCCAAGATGGAAATATGTGGGGTTTGTTTTAACTTGTTCTATTTCTAGCATAATGTTAGGTGTCCAATCAGTAATACTTATGACAATGGAGAGCAACAGCCAGTGGGTATATTCGAACCATCCAATACTCCTCCATTACAGCGTGAGCAAAGGCGGGCATGCAATATTTAAAGCAAAATTTGTATCACATTCTTGGACTGAAAAATATGCTGCATCTACGCAGAGAAACTACCAAGCTCACAAATACCATCCATGTTCCCTTGCCTCAGGAAGAATGAAAATTACCCTCACTTAGCAAAACCCAAAGTAATCTTTCTGTACACTTTCTAATAAACCGCTGCAATGTCTCTCTGGTTTGTTTTGTGAGGGCACTGCTATTCTAGGATGAATATGTACTGCAGCGATCATTTCTGTCCACTCCTTCTGGACTAGATGCACATTCTTATTCCAAGAAATCAATCTCAACGTTAAGATTTCCAGCATAACTTTTAAATCTGTCAGTCAACACAGAAGTTTAAAAAAAGAGGACTGCACTATGCAATGGCCCATCACTGTACCTCAGAGAAACAGGGCAATAAAACCTATCTATTGGCCAAAGGGCAGATATATCAGTACTAATCCACAAGAGTGAGAGAGAAGGGGTAGGGAGAAAACTGGAACCAAGAAATTCAGAACTAGACTCTTTGGGCAATTGCGTACTGAGGGCAAGCATTTTTCTCTGATTATTTTAAACGTTAAGCTGTATTTCAAATGGCTGAACACAGCCACTTACGTCCCTCAACGGCTTGGGACCTGGTTACCTAAAGGAGTGCCTGCATCCATATGTGCCCTCCTGCCCCTTGGGATCAGCAGCAGAGGCCCTTCTCCGGAAGCCCTCCATGAAGGGTATCAGGAGGGCGAGCACCCGGGGGAGGGCCTTCTCTGCGCTGGCGCCCCACTTATGGAATGCGCTCCCCAGAGAGGTCCGCCTGGCGCTGTCGTTACTTGTTTTTCGGCGCCAGGCCAATACCTTTTTATTTAAATGTCATTTTAATTGTTGATCTTATTTATTGATTTTGAATTTTATGCCAGGATGCCTCCAGTATTTTATGCATTTGTACAGAAATATATTTATGTGTTGGAAGCCGCCCCGAGGCTCATGCGAATGGGGCGGCATACAAGTATTCCAAAATAGTAATGACAAATCTGCCATTCTGTAGGACTCTTTGGCTATAACCGCCAAGGAAAGATGAATTCATACTCAGTGTACGCTCTCGTCCAGTCTGCCCAGTTCCTTCCTAGATGACAACAGGGGATAAAAGCACCCACCTCCAGGCCTCGTGTCTGCTGGCTAATCTGATGGTTTAGCTGCTGCAGTTCAAGTCGAAGCTGCTGCTCCCTCTCAGACGGGGGCAAAGGCTTCCCATGGCCAGCGACGTCGGGCATCGACAACCTCTCCCTTTCGAAACAGAACAGTGTCGAAAACAAAGGGAAATGTTTTGGCTCGTGCTCTTCAGCGCATGTATCATCATATACCTCCAGCCAAGAACCACAAATTCAAATCGCCCTACCTGTCAGTAAGGCGTCCCTGAGAAGGTGTGTTTTGATGGGGTGAATAGGAGCCTCCCCATGCACTGTGTGTTCCGTAAGGGCTGTAATCTGGAAGACAATTGGAAAGGTCTGTGCAGAAGAAGTGACATTATTTGCGCTGTGATCGCTGCAGGGCAGAAGCTGCCCAGCTTGGGAGGCGGTCCTGCATGCGGCGCCATGCCTGCCGTCAACACGCAGGGCTGCCTCCGCCACAGCAGAACACTGCCTCCCACCCATTTCCCTTGACATCTGTGCAGGGCGAAACGTTCCTTGGAGACAGCAACAAGGCTGATCCTCACCGGTCATATTTCTTCCTCTTTTAAACAGCCACCATAAGATGGTTGGCAGATGGGATGAAAGGGAGTTGGAGAGCAGAGAGAGGCTGCACCACCCCAAGGTGAGAAAATGTGTGAGGGCGGGAAGCATCTTTTCCTCCCCCCAAAGCCTGCTTGCCAATGCTACAGAAGTAAATCTAGGTACAGGTGAAGGTTCCCCTGCGCAGGTGGGCGAGTTGTGTCCAACTCTGGGGCTGGTGGTCATCTCTTTGTAAGCCAAAGAGCTGGCGTTGTCCGAAGATGCTTCTGTGGCCACGTGGCTGGCATGACTCAATGCCGAGGTGAATGCTCTTACCTTCCCACTGGAGTGGTACTCATTTACCTACTTGTATTTGCATGTTTTTGAATTGCTAAGTAGGCAAGAACTGGGACAAAGCAGCAGGTGCTCACCCCCGTCACATGGATTTGAACCTGTTGTGCCACCCGTGTCCCAGAAGGAAATGATCCACTAGCAAAAACTGACTTTCCACTTTCCATTGCACGCAGGGCAAATTTGGAATTTGTGAACCTGCCCATGATTAAAAGGCCGACTCCTACTTTGGGCTGGCTGAACACGGCAGTGGTGCATCCAGTTCATGTGCCTGCTTGACGGAGCATGTACACCGTCACATGTGAAGAGGCGGCATGCGCACCAACTGTTCCATTCTTTGACAAGCACTGAGAACTCAAACAGTGCTGGAGAGCGACTTGGCTAAACACTTTTAAAAACTATTCCAGAAGAATTCCTCCATTTCCTTCCGTGTGGCACCACATCTTCTAACGAGGAGGAGCTCCAAGTCATTCCCAGTCCCACTGGCTGGGAACTAATGGGAAGACGACCTCAAAGGCTTTTGTCAGCCTCCGAGTGTTTGCATCCACCTCTGAGGAACACATCCCTGTGATGGATCACAAACTACTTTGGGGGTTTTTGAAGTGTGGCATCTATTAGAGGGGCAAGAAACACGTAACGAAACTTCCCTCGGATATACAGAACCACCTTTTTACCACAGCTAGAGCAGTGACTATTACTTGTCCTCTCTCTCTCTCTCTCTCTCTCTCTCTCTCTCTCTCTCACCCTGAGAATCTATTAGCAATGGGCAGGCTATGCCTGGAACTGCTGCTGACACAGCTAGTACCTAGTAGAACGACTGTGAAACAAATCAGCAAATAAAACAGCCTTCAAATGCATAAGCGTCATACCTGAAACGTTGACTGGTTTTGCAGAAGCCCCTTGGACAGTCATGGCTTGCATGGGGCCAGGATTCTGGTACATCGCCTTGGATGTCCGCGAGATAGCGCCAAACCTCGATACGGTAGGCCGATCTCCAAAGGGGATAAGATCATCATCGCCAGTCTCTGCTGCTCTTCTCTGCAAATCCAAACGCTGGTCTCGCATCCCCTTGCTATCTGTGTTCTGGGGTGAAAGATCAAAAGATTGGGATTTATATAGAAAGCCCTCCAAATGGCTGTCTTTCTTCTTAGCGGAGATCACGTCCTTATTCTCCAAACATGGGGGTGTATCTGCCTAAAGGCATTCGTGCAACAGCCTTCTTTAGAGCAAGCGGACAAATGCTGGCTAGCATTCAGAACTGCCCATGGACAGCGGAACATTCTGTAACGTGGATGCCCAAGTCAAACGCTGGGGCAGGCTACCAATGCCCTTTGCAAAACAGCGCAACAGAGTCATTATTATACCAGGAGGGCCCATCAACCCCCACCCCACCCCCACAAAGTCATGACAGGGATGGTGGGAATGAGGACTAGGGCACAGCCAGGGAGAAATCAAACTGGGAATGAGGACTAGGGCACAGCTGGGGAGAAATCAAACTTCTACTCCCGGCTCAAACCAGCCCTCCCTGAAAAATGGCAGAAATGCCGCCTCCATTTTGCACATGGAGTGGCAAGTTGAGGACTGGGGGCATTTTAGCTCAGCTTCAAAATAAAAAGAGGAAAGGCCAGAACAGTGAATCAGGCAGGGACAGAGAAGGCAGCCTCCTCCAGGAATCTATAGTTTCAACAGAAACAGGACCCTTTAATTAAATCTAATTTTCATGCCACACCAGCAGTTCTCTTGCAGAATGTAATTTGGAAATGCCAGTGTTAAATCCTGGCTCCATTCAGGCATCATGCTATGCCAGAGTTGAGAATCCTAGCGCAGGTTTGTGCTCCCAAATGTGTGACACTTTAAACCATTCTGGCTGCTTTCATTTGCATTCCCTCAGCAGCCAGCTCTGAATGTTCACGTCCATCGCCAACCGTCTCGAGCGGCAAAGCGAGGGCTGAAAGGATGCGCTGCCCATCCGGCCCTCGTGAGCAAGAATGCGAACAACGGGTGCAACCCCACTTCAAAGTACGGTTTCCATGACTGGACTGCCAACACACCCAAGTCTGCTAATCTGTACTTCACATCAAAGGCTCCTTATGAGAGCCAGTGGCGCAGAGGGTAAGAGCATGGGTCTGGGACTCAGGCGCCCTGGGTTCGAGTCCCCACTCAGCCATGGGGCCTACTGGGTGGCTTTGGGCCAGCCAAAGCCTCTCAGCCCAGCCTTCCTCACAGGGTGGTTGCTGTGGGGATGAGAGAGAGAGCAGGAGATCAGCTGCTCTGAGTTCTTTAAAAAGAGAAAGGTGGGATAGAAATCTAGATAAACAAGCAAACAAGCTTTTCAGAGCAGTGGTGTGAAGACCCTGGGCTGGGGTCCCAATCCAATCCAGAACCCCAACTTCTCGAGGTCAATGGTGAGAGGGGTGAAGGCAAAGGCAGCAGGGACAAAGTATCAGCCGACTGTGGCTTGGCAGTTTTACTGCCAAAAGCAAAGCCTCGGAGGAAACCACCGAACAATTTGGCGATGGTGTGAAGGGGGGTGGCCGCCTGTGGAGCCTTAGTGGGGACAGTGTGGGCCCCAGGCCTGACGCTCCACACACTACTTTAGGGGCCCCGTTAACAGGAAAAGGACAGGGAGCTGCAGCTGCGTTGCAGTGCCAGCCCACAGTTGCCACTCCAGAGATGCCTGCAGGCCAACGCTGGCACGGTGCGGCCTGTCTTTCCGCAACCCTGGTGGTCGGCGAAATGCCAACGGAACTCTCTCCCCAGCACTGTCGAGTCTCCTCCGCACGCTTACCACCATTTCCACAAGCCCCACTGCCACAATGTCTTTGGGTTTTGCATCTTTGGTTCCAATGTAGGAGCCGATGGTGTCGCATGACCAGGGGGAGTACTGGCTGTAATCATTTCCTTTGTATTTCCCAGCTACTTTCAGGTCTTCGTCTATATACTGCATAAAAACAAAGCCCATCTGTGTAAGGGAGGGATAGGAAGCACGGTCCTGACATTCAGCATTAGACATGAAGAGGAAGCATCCTTGCCTAAAGGGATGGTGCAAAGAGCACTAAGGAAATGCTTGGATTTGTGGTAAAATGCTGCTTGAGATCAACTATGCCATTCGAAGTGTTCAGAGGGCTTCGGTCTGCTTGTAAAAGGTTTATTTATATAACAATGTCATGAAATTTAAATACACGAGACCCCCACACAGTGGAAAACTGAATCAACACCATTCTAGTATTTAATGCATACAAATATTTACATTAAATTAAATTAATGGAAACATAAAGTATGGCTATCAATGCACACAACAGTCAAATCTGACCAGTTCGCCCTCTAGCCACACTCAGATGATGCCTTCCCACAATCTCTGCCTTAAGCAGGGGAGAACAGGTCCCCCCCAGCCCCACTCCTGGGGCCACTGATGTCCACAGGGGTGTGTGAAATTTGAATAGGATGCACAGTGTCTTGCAGAACTGTTAACTCCACTTTAACATTTCCATATTTTACTGTGTTATAACCGGGAACAGAATGGATTTGACTTTGTGACCGCTTGACGTACACAAGGGATTCAGCTCTGTGAAGGCACAAAATATTTTTTACAGTGGTTTAGCAAAGAAAAACAACCCGGCACTTGTTGGCTGCTTAAGTATTCACTGAATTTGCTGCTGTGATGCAGCCCACTGTCTCCAGAAGTCACATACAGAAGCAAGTAGCCCAACGGAGTCTTCCCGTGTGCAGTGATGTATCGTGTGATCTGAGATTACCTGCACCTGCTCCACCATAAAGTCAAGTTGTGTAGAAGCATCCGTCGGAGTCGTGCTGCACAAAAATCCTAAATTATGAACACCCCCTGGAGTGCCATTAAATGCACTGGAGTGAAGTGGAAAGGAGAGGGTCCGCTGCAACTCTGCCTAGGGAAAGCTGACCGCCACAACAGCAAACAAGAGGCCCATCTCGAGAAAGACCTACCGCCAAGAAGACAACCGGGCTTTTGGAAGGATGATGAGGAGAACACCACTGCTGAGGAAAAGCCACACGAAGGTCCATTTGGGCTCTGCAAAGAGGCACGTGGGAAAAGGTTCTTTGGTCCGACGAGGCCTGAAATGGACTGTTTGGCCTTGCAAACAATGCTGCATGTGGACAAAGGACCACAGTGCCAGGACTGGGGGTGAGATGGATGGAGCCAACGGTAGGAGCACACTTCTGCCACTCTGCAAGGGATCTGGAGCTGAGGCAGAGGTTTGCCTTCCAGCAAGGCACCTGGCACACAGGCAAGCGAACACTGGAGAGGTTTCGGAGCAAGGACCTGAGTGTTTTAGTATGGCTCAGTCAAAGCCCAGACCCCAATCTGAAAGAGAACCTGTGGCAAGACTTTTAAGCGGCTGGTTATCAATGGCCCGCATCCAACGCGACAGGGCTGGACAGTTTTGCCAGGAAGGAGGAGCCAACAGTGTGGGGTCTGGAGGCACGGTGTTGGTCAGGACTCCTCTGGGAAGATGCACAGCTGTAAATCCTGCCAAAGGAGCCTCTGCCTTCTTGACTCGGGGTGCGTGTGTGTGTGGGAATACGTACTCAACCAGCACATGCCAGTTTGCCTTTTGACTTAAATGTTGTGCCGCAATAAAAATATTTTGCACCTTCACAGTGCTGAGTATCTTGGGTACATCAAACACTCACCATTTCAATTCCCGTTTGCAAGCCAAGAAAATGTGGAAAGCGGGAGGTATATACTTGTGCAAGGTGCTCGATATGCAACAAGCGGGGGCAAGACCATTGTCCAAATCATGTGGCTGGTCCTCAGAGTTCACCTGAAATGTCTGCCATGTTGCTCAGGTCCATACACACACTGTACAAGGCCACATGTGAGCCCCTGTGGGGCAGACACACCCAGTGGGCAAAACAGGAAGAGATGTCAGCCCTTCTACAAACAGGGTGTGATGGAGTGAGACCATGAAAGAACATGTCCAAAAGGGGCATCTCCCTTTCTTCTGGCAGGTTGAGCTACTCAAGTTACTCACTAAGCACCCATGATCCCTGAAATAAGTCAACAATTGCATTTTAAAAAGTATGTTCACCTCATCAGTGTGTAAAGAGTGAGGCAGAGTTGGTGACGATGCAAAAGGAGGTGGAGAGATGACCTTCCTTTCCTCCAGCTGGGCCATGATCTCCTTTCGTCGACGGTGCAATTCATCTAGACTGGGATGTGGCTGTGGGGGAGGCCGGGGATAAGGGTCCTGAAGATTTAGAGGCTCATTTATTGAAGAAATAAGCTGAACACATGGACAATTCTGCAGTATACAAATGCACCCCAATCCATAATGGGGCAGCTAGTTTCATATCAAGAAGGCTGAACAACGGGGAGAAACGTTTCATTTTTGGCTGAATGTAGTAATAGAATTCATTCATATTTAGGTAATATGCTACAGAGGAGAAAAGCTGTCCAATAACATAAAGAGCTGCACACTATCTCAGGAGCCATTTTGCAAGCATTCAAGCTTTGATGCTTGTATAAATAAAGACAAAAAAAGAGATAAATCACCTCCATTTGACATGGCACCAAAAGAAAACATTTTTGTTAATACCATTCTGGGGAAAAATTAGAACAGCTACATTAATTGCTGGTATTTTCACAAAAATTTGCAATGTTCCCCAGTAGGAACTTATAGTTTGATTTTTGCAATCTCCATATAGCAAAGCGACTTCAACGTCCTTCTCTACAAAAGGAATGCTTTCTTAAGTTACGTAGTGAGGCGGAGATCACTTTGGGCTGCTGTACTGGATGCAGAATTCAGCTTTCAAGCACTAAGATGGCTTTCTGTAAAATTTTAATTTGGAATATTTTCTGATACTCTAAACTGACTGGAATCTGAGTTACCATTTAAATTTGCTAAACTTATAAAAGGTTGCAAAATTTAGCTTTTTGTTTAATAATCTGAGCTACTTTGATGTAGACTTTATTTTATTTAAGGCAAGAGTGGGAGAACTGTGACCTTTCCTGTGTTTGCGTGTGCATCTATCACCACTTCTAGCCAGCCTGCCAAGGGTGAGGGGCTATGGAGATTCTGGCCAGAACAACTGCAGGGTCCCCAGATTTAAGAGTGGAATGCCAACCACACAGCCCGAATCGATGATAAAATCCCCGATTTGCCACTGACTTACTTAGTGGCCCCAACCCAGCCTGGATCTCTTTATCTCGTCTGTTACAATGTGATCTCAGAGAGCTGCTATGAAGACCGTACTGTGTTTTGCATGTAAACATGTCAAACAAAATAAGAAGAAAAATGAAGGAATAACACTGAGAACACATACTCGGTGATAGGAAGGTCTGATCGGGTTCAGATGTGGGCCAACCGGGTAGTAGCCTTCGACTTGTGAGTATCGGTCTCTTGTTTCAGGAACGTATGGCGAGACGGCTGGCTGAGGAATTTCAATGGGCACAGGGCTCCCTCGGATGACATCTTCCCGGTGGTACGTCTGGGCTGGGGGGTACACACGCCTGCCGTCATAGTGAGGCGGGTACATCGGCTGCCCCATGGGAGGGTATGGCTGTGGCTGGGCGCTGTAGTGAGAATTCACCATGCGATCCTGGAGGTATGGCGGGTAATGCTCCAAGTAAGGAGGGCCTGGCTCAGGAACAGACGGAGGAGGCCGGACAAATCGGGACATGCACTGTGGAGACTGAGTGGCAGGATAACACACACCTAAATACAAGACACAAGGTTTTGGAAAGAAGCTTTGACACCATGCATTCTTTCAGCTGCTTCAGAGAATTGTACTCTGAAAGCAATATGCCTCAGGACATACGCTCACTATTCATGTGATAACCACAGAGCATCATCAGTCTTAAGCAGTCTTCCCCAGCCTAGCGCCCTCCAGATTTTTCAGGCTACAACTCCTGCAACCCCTGCCAGCTTGTCCAATGGGCGGGGATGATAGGATTTGGAAATGGAAGGATATGGAATGCACCAGGTTGGGGGAAGCTGGTCTGAAGAAAGAAAATTGGCATAAGGAAACATCTGAAAGCCACTTTCACTGCAATCTGATTCACCCAGGTATCTCTGCATACACAGAAATCATTCCAGCCCTCTCTGAAATGACTCTGCCACCCAACCTGGGCACCTGCAGTGGCAGGAGCCAGCACATCCCTGCTGCTTTTCCTGCTCTCTCTCTGCTCTGCTGCTCAAAGAAACCAGATACTGTCAGAGATGCGCTTGCAAGCAAAGGCAAACATTTCGCAAAGAGGGCTAAATTCAGTTTGAGTTTTATGGCATGCAGGCCGCTGCGCCACTGTGCCAAGTATTGCTGCAGTCCCTTTAAATTCCAGAGCACACTGCAAAGAAAGCACGGTAAGAAACGCAGACAGGTGCCCCACCAGATATTCTTCCATGCATGGCACCTGCTTTGCTATCCGGCTTGGTATGTTGAGCATTTTATCTGGCACACTGCACAGGCAGGTTGGGATTCAAAGTGTTAACACTGAACTATTGAAAGCAGCAATTTGTCTAGTTCTCCAGCACCCCTACCTTTCTCCAGGGCTTCCCAAGGGCGCAAACCATCGCTCCAAGGCGAAAGCTCACCCGGGTGGCACTTACGTGGCTGGTAAGGCGGGGCCTCAAACAGCGGAGCTGCTCCTCCAGCATCCTGGTAAAACACGTCTGTTTGCTGAGCTGGGTACAGCTGGGAACCCTGCGGTACCATCTGGAGCTGCTTGCCCACTGATATTGGAGGCAGGTCTGCAGGTCCACGGGGTGCCACTGGGTGAGTGTTCACTGGTAAGGCAGACAGAGGACTCTTAGGAACAGGTTCCAGCCTAGAAAAGATGGACCACAGCGTCAAGGCTGTCGCATGCTTGGGGCACATGCTGCCAAGCGCCACTGCTTTTCTGCCATTTAGTCCAGGTGTCGGGGTTAGTGGAAATCTCCCACCCATCTGTCCCCTGCAATTATAGATGGGCTGGGGGCAGGCAGGAGGAGGAAGCACCACCGGCACCAGAGAACCCACCCGGCCCCATGGCTCCCGAATCAATTCCAGTGGCTGCTGCAATCCAGCTTCAGAGGAAAGCAGCAAGCAAAGCAGAAGCTGGGACTCTAGCAACCCTGTTTCACAACTGCAGTGTACACAAGGGACAAACAGGAGTACATTTCAACATCTACGGATAACTTCATTCTCTCACTTCACTGTAGCACTAAGAAGCTGAAGCAAGTGTGTTTTTTCCTGTTCAGGCCAGAATGGTTTGGCTCTTATCTGGGCAGAACAGGACTGCCCCAAACAGGATTATCATATGGCAGAACACTTCACTTCTGGTTGAAGTAAAAAGCTGGCTTTATCCCCCTATGTCCTAAAACAAAGAAGGCGATCCATAGATGGAAGGAGACCTGCACAGCCACACTGGCATTCCAAGTGCAGAAGTCGCCCAGTGCCACCAACAGGATGCCTGCTGGCTGCCGACCCTCATCCGCATCAGGTGTGGACATGGCGCGCCGATGCAAGGCCGATCGAGGGCTTCTGCGGATGTACCACATTTGCACGTGCACCCTTTTTTCCCCCACAAAGAAGCCACATATGGGCAGGTTTTGCCAGACGGAGGATCTGTCCTGGCCGTCTTTGTATGTCGAAGAAAAAGCGTACAAGTCAGGAGGTGATCCGGGGGCGCTGCTGCTGTGGAGCTCCATCTTCCCAGGCTTCAGGGCCGAGTCATAGCTCGAGTCGGTTCCGCGGGAGATGAGCTGCGTCACGGCCCCGCCCGTGGGGACAATCCCGTTCGGCAAGGCCGAGGGCTTCCTGCTGGGCAGATCCACAACCCCTTCCTCGGAGAGCATCGCTGCCGCCGCCGACAGGCCCACTTCGTTCAGCTGGCCTAAGGAACCACTCAGAGGCCTCCGAGGAACAAGTCGCTTGTTCATCTTACGGAACCTTCAGAAGAAAGAGGAGGAGGAGAATCGCAGCAAATGAAGGAAGAATGGGAAACGGCTGCGCTTCAACAGTTATTTCTGCCCCGAGGCCTGTGCCACAGGGCAAACCCTAAGTCAGGTGTGAGAATGACAATCAGGAATACTCACACACCAAACCTGCTTGGTGCAGGTCAAACACGTTTTACTTTGCTGTATCAGGCAGCACCCCCTGCCCTCCCCCCCACCAAAAAAAGTTGTTAACAAAACCCATAAGGAACTCTGGGAATGTCAGTATTTCACCGCCAGCATTTCCACTCAGTCTTGATCTACCTAACAGGCTGCGCTGCATTTTGTAAAATCAGTGGATAATACACTAAAGCTTAAAGCTTTTGGCAGCCATCCAGAGAGTATTGGGACGGCACATAAAACTTTTAAATAAACAAATAAATAAATGGAACATGCAACAAAATGTGACCAGCATGAGAAGGGATGCGCTCGGGGACGGTAGAGGATCCTCGCAACAGCAGGGCCCTGTGTTATGCGGAAGCATGCACTGCTCCCTGCATGCTCATCTGGCTTCAGAGGGCTCCGAAACGTCCTAAGATGTCTCCCAAAGTGCAGGATTTGCCACAGGGAAAAAAGAGGAAGTACTGCTGCATCCCGTGCCACTGAGTTCTTACCCTGGAGAAAACCACTGCACAGAGATGTACGGTCCACAAGCTGCCCGCGCCTGTTTTCTCACTGCCTGTCCCCTCTAAGCTGAAACTCCAAAGAATCGAACTACATTTGGGAGCTTGGCTTACAGAGTCTTCCATGCCTTTCAGACAACAAAACACTAATACAGCATGAAAAGAGAACAAATTTGTCTTCTATAGGCTTCCCCTCATCTAGTGAACAGAAGATCACTAGAATCTTTCAGGTCATCCCAGCGGGGATTTCTCCACATGGTGCAGAACACTGTAAAACGCGATCATGTCCTTGTCTTATTTGCCATTTCTCTAAAATTAAGAAGCGTCTCATAGAGGGGTTTCCCCAATGTACCAACCAGTTTAATATATATACCCTATTCTGCATCTTTTTTGGCTCTACAATATCCTCTCTGATGTGCAACCACTGGAGTCTTTGAAATAGTATTTCAAATGTGGCCACATCACAGGTTTCTCTGAACACATTACAGTCCTAGCAGTTTTATGGCGATTCCTTTCCTAAAAACCGAGAGCATGGAATTTGCGTTTTTCACCACCACTGCACACGTTAACTGAATTATCCACGAAGATCTCTCTTCCAGTCAGTCACAGTGTCAGACGCTATTCGCCTATTACTTTGCATCTAACAGGGCTCTGTGATGACGCAGGCTCAAGCCATGCCTCTTACGCCACCCTGACATGGCATTACCACACCCCCCTCCTTCCAACAGCTGCATGTTGAAATCCGGCTGTCTGCAGAAGGACCACACTTCAACCATTTAAATTAAAACACATGCGGTACAATTTCACAGTGACGCCTCCAGCTTACTACCCTTCACTGTGGGAACTATTTCTTCCCTGTTTTTTAACCAAATACAAAAGTAGACAGAAGCAGCATTTGGTAAGGGATGCTGTCAAAAGCCCTTTGAAGGCCGAGTGTATGCTTTCTTTTGGACCATCCCTAGCTGAGTGCTTCCTGGCACTTTCAAAGGAATCAGGTATCATCTCCCGTGGCAGAAGTCATGGCCATTCTTCAGCAAGACTTGTTCTTGGAATACTAGGAATGGGGGACTTCTGGGCTGCTGGTGGCATATGGCCAGCAGGGGCAGCCCAATCAGTCCAACAGCTTTTTCCCCTTTTCTTGACAAGGAAAAGCTCATCTCTCCAACTTCAACAGTTCTCATAGAACAAATGTTAAGCTAGCCAGCCTGTAATTTCCTGGACCCATTTTGGAACATGTGATGCTATATTAGCTACATTCCAATCCAGTGAAACAGAGGTTAATTCTGAAAACAGATGATTGTGAAAAGATCTGAAATTTCAAATCAGAACGCTTTAAGAATTCTCAGGCTGGTAACATCTGGACCTAATTTTTAAAATTTGTTGATAAGCACTAGTATTTCCTCTTATCAGCACTGTCCTACTTAATTGTAAACTGCCAAGGTCTACAAAATCCCCACTTGGATGACCTGAAAGATTCATAAATGCATCCTTCTTAGCAATGTTTTTTTCCCCAAACAAGACATTCCCCAGTACCTGCTCACATAATCACAACCCAGTAACAAATTCATGGTCTGTGAAGTAGAAGAAAATATGGAGCCTTACTTTTCTAGTTCTTCCTGCGAGTGTGCAAATGTGCAGCTGGCCCCACGGGGGCACCCTCCTCGCTGCTTCATGTCTCGGCACATGTATGTCTTGTACTTGCTGTGCTGAGGAGGCTAAAGAAAGAGATAAAATTAGGAAGTGATACCCAATACTGATAATGGCACAGACTATTTTGGAAAGAGGGCTCCAAAATAAATTCAAGAAATGCGGATCTTATAGAGAGGGTGGGAAAAGGTTTCCTAAAGGAAAACAGGGTTTGCGAACTAGCAAAATTTAATGGGATTTGTGATTAAGGTTGAAATCCTTTAAGATGGACATTGTTCTGGACCAGAGCACATTTAATGCTAGCCCACTGTTTATCTAAAGCACAGCTTGTTTGCGCTACCCAGGGTTTATCTGCAAAATGACTGAACCAGGGAACCAGGGGGGACAATCCCTGGTGCAGGGAGTGAGAAAGGCAGTTGCGCTTGGCAAACGCTCCCAAGGCATGACTCAGAGGGGAGGCCTTGGAGTGTGGGCCCGTTCCAGATGCCTCTCCAAGTTCAGGGCTTATGGGCACCTTGACTGGACTGCACCCTTACTATATTTACAGAAGAGCAACAGAAATTAGTACAAACATTCGTGGCAAGCAAGGCAAGCACAGTAACCAGCCATGCCTGATAACTACAACTAGCGATTGTTGTTTAAGCAGCAGGAGCCTAATTCTCAACAATATGCCTGTCCTTCTGGTGTCTGCTGGGTATCATGTGTAAGGAGATTCTGGCCTGCAGGTGTCTTATACTCCAACAAAGTACTGGGTCCGAGGCGATGCTTGATGTCTTGCACGGGCAACTCTCCTGGAGTTGTGGGGTCAGCCAACACTGGGCTTGGGATGCATACCCTCAGTCCTGCATTCATTTTTAATGCACTGGGCACTACTGCAAGGGGCCTGCACACTCAACAGTACGTTGTGCAGTGGCATGCCAACCTGTGCGAGACACTGCTATTGGAGGTTCTGGTGCACCATTTGCAGACATGCTTTTCTACATACGTTAGACGTCACTGGCATGGAGTGTCAGGCTCACACCTCAAAACAGCAGTGAGCTGCAGAGGATACTTCCCCTGAGGTTCGGGTACATGCTTTGGGGTAGCGCACGTTTTGGGGTAGGTTCGTTTGCCGTGCAGAGCCCAACTTTGTTCGCTATCTGCGAAGATGATTGGCCTGAGTGTCCACCACCCAGTGCGCTGGCGCAGAAGGGGAGCCAGCAGCCACTCACGTTGTGTGCGAGCATGATCTCCACCAGAGGCACTCTGGATCTTGCCTCTCCCCTCCGCTGGGAGGGTCTGTGTCCAGCCTCACTGCACAGCATGCACCGCTCTTTCTGCAAGGGGGAGTGTGGGAACAGCTTCGCACCCTGACGTTTATTAACAGATTAGAGCTCCTCCAGTACTTTCACCTCCCTTTTTGTCTCATGTTTGTCCTATCTTTCACACACCAGGAAAACCATGAGATTAAAAAGGAAGGAAGGAAACAGCCATGTCCACAGACTGTGACAAGGCTTGGCCCACACGGTACCTGCTGCTGATCTGCTCCTTTCTTGCTGTGATTTTGGATGTAATCAACCAGCCCGTGCACTACAGTTCGCACGGCTACCAGTCCGTTCTCAAGCTGTTCCCATGTAGGTGGTGGGGCATCTACAGTGTTAACAAGAAACAGAACAGTTGAAACTGTCTAACAGATCTCTGCATACAATATCCCACAGAAATATAAGTCCATGAATCACAGCCATCACCAATGTTTCAAAAGTGCCAAATGTAGGTCAGTTTTGACAGAGAACATGATGTGTTGGACCCAGGAAAGCAAATTTTAATTTGCCAGATTTAGGGCGTAGCGACTGCAAACTTTTATCTGCCTATAAGGAAGCAAAAAGACACTCAAACCAGAGCACTCACAGACAGACACCTCAGAACAATCCAATGCTGGGAAACAGGAGGAGATTGGAGGTAACAGAGAATTAGGCCTGAGAGGACCCAAAACAAGTACACTTATCATGTAATTAAAAGCAATGATCTGAGCTACAGGAAATAGACTAGACTTCTTGACTAATTAAAAACAGTACTTGATTAATTCTGCCATTCAACTTGGTTACCTTTTGCTTGAATCAGGATTATGGATTTAATCATCAGGATTATTACACTACAGGTTTAAACTTCCCATGCCTGGATGTTTATTATGTTTACAGTACATTATGAATGGTTCCTGTAATTATTTTACATATAACTAAGCATTAATGCAATCACTGGTGTCTGTATTTCTTCAATTTCAATTCTCTCTGACCTCCCTGGTAACATTCTTCCTCTTCTTGCACCTGTTAATCTGCCAACTCAAGGTAATGTTCCAGGTGCTCAACCAAGTGGACTCTGGTGCATGAAACTGAACGACTGTATTTGCACGCTGCCCTTTTCCTTCAAGGAACTCAAGGCAGCTTATATAATTAATGCGCTAGTACCAAAGATACCAAAAACACTTTCCCCTTTCCTAATATATTTTTTTATAGTTACCTGGGCTAGGATCGATATTTGCCAGGAGTTCTAGATGAGGTCGGAGCCGATTCAGGTTGGCCGGGTCGCCAGTCCGCTGAAGAGCAATGGTTAGTTCCTGAACACTCTGCGCAAAAGAAGCTGGGGTCTGCAACTTAAAATGTACAAACATGCAATCATTAGAGCTGTCCTCCGGCTCCCCGAAGACACAACCGGCAGACCACAACTAAAGCAACATTCCCGAGTTACTTCAAGCAACTGCAGTGAAGATTTGCACCTTGGTAGGAAATTGTTTGCTCTCTTGAATTCAGGAGATGCTATTTCGGTCCTGATTCCTTGCCACTCCTGTTGGCGAGTACAGCCTAACATCACACGCAAATTTTGTGGGTATAAATACAAGCAACACATCGAACTGTTACTTCCAGTTATCCAGCTACAGATATGAAATCCAGCCAGAAAACACAGACTGCTTTAGTGAGCCGTTGCTCAGATGCTCATTTCACAGCTAGTGTGCCATAAAATCCAGTGATCTTTCTTTTGCAAAACCATGCAAGTTCATGGGTCAAAACTATTCTGTTTATAAATGTAAACAATTGATTGTCCTTCAAAAAACACATAAAACTTAAGTTAATGTGGTCACTTTATCTTCTTCCCCATGCAAGCACTGAGGATGTTTGTAGAGTCTTATGTACTAAGCTTAACTTAGAGGCTGAACCTCCATGTATCCCACTATCTTGGTTTGTCAGCTCAGCAGTGAGCCCACAGAATGTGTTCAGGGAGAATGTCAGCAAGTACAATCTCCCCAAACGCTCGATGCAGATACACACAAATGAACTATAGGTGCAGCCAGTTACTTGCTATTTGCATAAACTGCTTGCGACAAAAGCACCTAGTGATCCTTTTGAGCTGAAAGACTACAATCCAAAAGAAACTTGCTCCTCAACACACACAACTAGTATAACAACATGTGCAGCCATAAGATCAAGACTTATTTTTAGAATCTCTCAGGATGGGGACAAAAATCTGTACATATTATCTCTGCATAGTACCCAAAATGGAATCAGCCCGTCCGTATGCTTTCTCTATTCCAGAGTAACGAGCGGATGGTTGGAAACAGAGCCTTTGCTGGGTAACTACAAAGGTCCAGAAAAGCATGCCAGGTCAGACCAAGGGTCTGCATAGTCCAAAATTGCCATTTCGAGCCATTAAGGGCCCCTCAGAAGCTCAGCGTCAGGCAACGGTGCTGCACTGGCTCCACCACTCTGCTGGACTGCAGGAGGAGCATCTTGGCTCCTTTTCGGCAAATGGCACTGTGGATCTCCGACTTACAACCAATACCAGTAGTGCAAATCTGGCGGAAAATGAACGGGATTTACTTTGTCAATAATGGACTGCATATGGGATTTGTGGGACTGGTCTCCATACAGCAACGAGGACCACTGATCAGGAGCAATGCGCAAGCCGGCCTCCATTGCAATTTGCACAATCTGGGAATCGTGCTCTCGCCTCAGAGCTTCGTATGTTCGGAACTCCTCCTTCAGCTGCATCAGGGATGAATCCTCATCACGTTTAGTGACCTGGTGGGCAAAAAAACTATCTAGTTAAGTAAGGCCAAAGTACTTACTGGCTTACCCACCTAAGGCCTTGACTGTTTTTCAAGATAGCAGAGTGAAAATAATTTGTCCTATCTGTATAGAGGAGGGTGGGAGCTTCCCCATAATCAGATGAAGAGCTGAGACAAGTCTGCATGATTTACTAATCAATTTGTGCTTTTCAAAAGTTTACTGAGCAAAGCAGAACAATTAAATGAATGTTCCTAGAAACAGAGACAGGGACAGAGATGTCAGGATGACTCCCCATTAACTACTACAGCTTGCCTATGACATTTCCATCATCTGTTTCAGGAAAGGTCCAACCTTGACTTCTGGTTTATTTCAACCACTATATTCATCACTCCTCCTGTCCTTATCCAGGTGCTTTTAATGAGGCCTGTGCTGTCAGGTTCAGGGATTTTCAAGAGGGCACATTCATTCTTTACATACAACGGGCCTTTCTGTTAGGTGTACGCTCCCTGAATGCAGTACACCCTTCCAACAGCTGATGAGTCCCATCTCACTTTTATAAGCATACAAAAGGATGACAGGAGGGGAAGCATCTCTGCACTTGAAGATATCCAGTTCAAACTATTTCTAAACCCAATAGAATTGCCTGCTCTGTACCTTGAAACAGGAGGCTCTGTAAAGGAGCTGGACAACATGCCCAATGCTGGTTTTAGAAGCCTGGGGAAATCGTGGCTCCAACCTCTGTACCACAAAGAGAACCAAGACCTTCCGAGACAAAGCAGAACCATCTTCCAATGCCAGAAGAACCAACTTGAGGGCTTCTTCCTGCATTGCTGGAAAATTAAGTCAGCATAACACATTTAATCACATGAATCAAAAGCAATTTCAGTTCATTCTCTTTTGACTAGAACTTAGAAAACCAATACATCAGTGACTGTATTAAAAGCTGTAGAAATCTTCATGCTGTTTCACAGTCATGATATGAAATAGGATATCTACTGTGCCATTTGGCCCTTGAATAGAATCCTGAGAATCTTCTCTTTGATTTAAGCATAAATTAGGCTGTATCATAGTTTAACAATGCAAACCAAAGGCAAATATACAGCACAAAAACACAGAGAATCCAAATTCACAGAATGCTGCATAAAGTTTTTCATCCAGAGAAATTACAATTCTATGTTTATCTCCGTTAAATAAAGACAGAGGGATCACGGATCAGGTTTTGTGTAAAGTATTGTCAAACTACATGTCAACATTTATGCTCCAATGAAACCAAATTTCTTAATAGTACTTTTGACAATTACACAAACATTCCCAGGATTTCAATTTCACGCCTTCCTCTGTTTAAATGTATCCTGCTTTCCTGAACACATACATACTTGTGACTTTTATGTGGAACAGGCATATGGGTACTCAGTTGCACTGGAGTGTGCATTACTTATCTAAATTCGTAGACCATTCATTTCCTCTTGCCCTTGGTCTTTATCAATCCGTCAAAACCCAAGCCAGACCATGTCCTGACTGCGGAGTACCTGGGCCAAGGAACTGGCAGCCTCGGGCCCTCACTGCGGCCCAAAGGTTGGAAGAGAGCTGCTGGGGGTTCTGGTGCTGAAGGATGAGCTCTGTGACGGTTCTTTCACCGAGCGATCGTGCTGCCCGCATGGCCCTGATCCGTCCTTCTTCTTCCACTAGCTGGCAGTGAACGAGCGTCACCAGCTTCCTCTGCATGGGACGGCTGAGCACACTCTGAGTGGTGCTGTTCAGCCCCACACCTTTACAAAGAGAAAACAGGGGGGGATTATTTCTCAGTTTCTCGAGGGGGATGGAGGGGCTTGCATATAGTCCATTCCTGGCTGGGTAGCCAAATAGCATTCCAGTCTGAAGAACTTTATGGCCTTTGGCATAATGTCCTCTTTTACTCCACACGACCATTCAGACTCAGCTCAGGTCTAGGTCTAAACTTGCATCTCATGAACGAAACATCACTTATAACAACATGGTGTTTGTCTAATAGGATTACCAAGGGACAACAAACTCTACTGGGCAAGACTGAAGAGCTTCTATGAGTTATTTAAAAACTTTTGATCAATTTATTTATTGTATATATTTACAAGATTTATATGCTGTGCTAGCTTTAAAAAATGTCCAAGCAGTGTACAATTAAAGATATGACTCTGATCAATCCAGCGGCAGAATTTTCTCCTGACCTGGCAAGGACAGCTACATGAAAGTGGAGAAAGAACCTCCTGGGGCACCCACGATGGTGGCAGGAACCCCTCTCCCTCACACTGGTCAAAAATCTTAGGTACAGAATCTTGACAAAAAAGCTCTGTGGAAGCGCAGAGCTCATGTGTGCGATACGTAGAGACCATGAAGAAAAACCATGAATAATTTCTGATCTATTTAGATTGCTGAATCTGACACTAGCTCACCAGGTCACCTCTTGTAAGAAAGGTTTTCAGATGACCAGAACAATTTCCCTAAATATAAAGGGTTTGTTTTAATACCAGTCAGGCCACTAATGTACCAAAGGCCTAATACAAATATTGTGTAGGAAGGCTTGGTAGTAAAATAATGAGAGGACTAAAGTTTTCATTTTATTTGTAATTTTTAAACTTTCTATCATTATTTGCTTCAACACTCAGAGCAATTGTTTTCTCAGCTGGAGATTATCAGGTACATTATCAATTTGTTAATATACTATTACGTTACATTCATATCCTCTTGCAGGGAACTGAAGGAGACTTACAAAGCCCTCCTCCATTCCATCCTCACAACAACCACCCTGGCAGATAGATTATGCTGAAAGGCAGTGAGCGCTTGACGTAACCTGGTGCGCTTCAGGCCTGAGTAGGAACCAGAACGCTCAGTACTAGCCCACTGCTCCAGCCCACTGGAGCCATGCTGGATAACTGGGGTCCATCCTTTCTCTTTTGGCTTTATAACAATACATGAAAAGATTATTTACCCCGTGCACTGCTCAGTGGCTTGAGGTATAAGGCCAGTTCTTCCACACATTTCTTGGCTTCTTCATAATGCTTGGTGTCTTCGGCGCCACTGCGCAGAGTTATTGGCTGCTGTTCTGGCACCTATGGAAAGATAATACCCAAACTGAAAAAAAAGGAAATAAGCTCACAATTTCAATTTGCCGCTCCACCATGCAAAGAATAAAAAAAGATGCAGCTCACCTCTGAAGCTCCTCACACATGTATCCAAATTAAAAATATCAGTCACAGGATATTTATCTCTCTCAGTATATGGTTTCACAACTATTCCTTAAATCCACCCAATATACAAAAAGAACATTTTCTTTTTCTTATGAAAGCTAAAATGCTTTTCTGTTGAATTTTCTATCCTGATTTCTGACACAAATATATCCCTGACAGAATGCAACACTCTCGGGCAGACACTTTGCAAAAGCACAGTTGCATTCTAGTTAAATAGCAACAGTCGAATATTAAACTGTACTGAAGCCAGCATCTTTACTCAAAAGCCTCTTATTTTCAAGCCTCTGTTTGAACCACTTCCTTGTTCAAACCTTCTGAACTCCAAAATGCATTAAACCTTTCACATTATGAGATTGTTTTAAATGGCATTTGTATCAATCGAATTCAATTACGGAGCCCCAACGTACCCTTAAAAACCCTAAACCTTGCAACCTGCCCTCACGGGAGGCCTGCTCCAGGTCTTTTGAGCCCTTTGGATGGGGATGTAATCATATCAGAAGTGTACAAGGTATTTCAGGTGTAGTTACAGCACGCATTTGGAGCATCCTCTCCCGAAAGCTTGGTTCACGCGCTAGTTGCACGTGGGACAGCATCCCATAGCCTGGTGATGTTCCTTGATGTTCTGTGATGCAAGAGGCAATGACCGCTACCAGCTATTCTCGACCGACCGTGCTCCCCAGCCCCACCCACCCGTCTGTGAACTGAGTAAGAGGCCAGGCATGCTGCAAAGCACGTTGGGCGAGGCTGGGTGAGGGCCCTGGGCAGTTAATGGAAAGGGAGGGGAGAACGGGGAGAAACAGCTGCTGTTTCCTGCTGCACTGGCGAATGCGAGCGTTCCCTCTTTCCTGGAGTCCAAACTGCCATGCCATGCTTGCATTCTAGGCCTAGACGTCCTTTACAGAGAATCTGAAGTTTCCCCCAGAGGAGGGAAACTCAGCCACATGATTTGTGGAGAGAAATTTAAGAGAAAACGTGTCTGTGAAAGCGTATGTTACATGTCCGTATGTCCAGCATTTATATTCTGTATATAATATATACAAATAAATTTATATGTATTATAGGGGGGAGAGTTTATTTTGCTGAGGTGGTTTAGTTTTAAAACATTGTGCCTTACAAAGAGTTTGAAGCTGTGATCTTCTCTTCCTAGCCTTTTTGATAGTGCGTGTCTATACCAAGGTCACAACTTGTTCCATCTTCTCTATCCCCCCACACCCTGAAAATGTACTTATTAAGTCTCAAAATGCACCCTTTGGAGAGGGGCTCACATCACTGATAAGAGAAGCAAACATTTGAACTCTGGGAACAAGAAGTACTCCCCCCAAATCTTCTAAAAATACATACTCAACAACATATGTCATTACATTTATTTTCTTTATGTTACAGAAAAGGTGGCCACACTAGAAAAGGTGAGCAAGTCACTTTGAAAGGTCAGGCAGGTACCTGCACTGTGCTGTTTTTGGCACAGTCTTATTCCAGGAAGACTTTTCTTGCTGACCAGTCACAGTCTGAATGTTATGCTGGTTTAAAATGTTTTTAATGCATTGTTTTTATTGTTTACTTGTTCTTACTCACACTGTTTGACATTTCAGAATCTGTTTGGATGTGGAGCAGTATAGAAAGACTGAAAACAAATAAAGCTAGAAAAGCCATGATCTCTCCAAGCTAGCGGGGTTACTGGAGTCCAGCAGCCATTTCCAATCCTTCTTTTTAATGAACCTGAACCACTTCTCCTTGGCCATTACAAGGTCTGTCCTCCTCTCGTGTTTCATCTTTCCTCAGTTTGCAACATGTTTAAAAAATGTGCTTAACACAGCCTTACCTGAGCACCCACAAGCTGCAACAAGGCTGAGTTCACAGGAAGGTGCTCGATATCTGTGTTGATATTGGTCTGGTCGAAGGGACACGCCTTCCGGTGGAGCTTGTTCAGGCACATTTTGCAGACAGTGTGGCCACAGCCCAGGCTGATGGGCTTCCGGATCGTTTCGTCGAACGTTTGTGTGCAAATCGGGCAGGAGAGAAAATCCGTCCATTGTGGAGCTTGTACAGGCATTGTTTCAGGTGTTATTTCACAAGACAAAATCTAAAGCAGATTCCACTGGAATCAAAATTTTTTTTTTGGAAAAATTGTTTTTAAATATCTTCTGTAAGTACAGACAGTCAGCACATAGTGTGAAATATATCCTGAAAGAATGAACAGAGAGAAAAAAGAAAAAAGTTAGCACACAGATATTATATTAATCTACCTGATTCATCTACCTGATTAAGGCAGGTGGGCTTGCCAGAGTACTTGTAGAGGTGCTTTCCTTTTACACCTATGCTTGACTTAACTTGGGCCACCCATTTATCCCAATGCCTATGAATCATTTTACTGCCTCAAAAACAGTTGTGCAGATTGTGCGTTTGTGCCGACTGACATGAAAAGCAGAAAACCCAAGAACTTTCATTTGTGTGTGTATGGGGTTGGGAGGGGACACACCTTCTCTCTTAAATTCCTATTATCAGAATCTTGAAAAATTACAGATCAGAGAAGAAGCAAGCATTACAAAGACAGAGAGCCAGGAAGTGCAGGGCAGCAAGTAAGTGACTCTAGTTCTGGTTTCCTTGGTGCTAAAATCGTGCCAAGATGGTATAAAAGCTAAAACACACCACCCAGCCTCTAAGCTGTTTCAAGGCATGTTGGTTCGCTGTAAACCCCAGTTCCCACTTCCATCTGGCTTTCTCAATGACTAGAGGGTAGGGGAGGGTAGGGGAGGCACTTCCTCACTAAAGAACTTCAAGCAGAGGCTGAAGAACCACCTGTTGAAGATACTGCAAGCTCTGGATTTCCTGAATCAAGCAAGAGGCAAGACTAAATGGCCTTCCTGGAAAGAGCTGTGTCTGCTGGAGTTTCACAAATAAATAGCAAAGTCTACTTTCCATCCAGATTGACAAACTAACCCCCAAATGTAAATTAAGGGTAACTGCTCTGAAACTCTGAATAGAATGAGAAATCACTATTTTGAGGCAAGGCGTTATGAAATCTTAGAAAAAGAAGGAAACTCAAAAACTATCTAGCAATCCTGTATCTAAAATACATCCACGAGAAACCTGTTCAACCTCTTCAAACCACTCCGTCAATAAAACGGAGCAGTAGAATTGTTTAAAGATTACATACAGAAGTCAACTCCAGAGGATGCTTCTGTAAGAGTGCCAAATTAACAAGAAAAAACTGAAGAAAGTTACAACAGGGAAGTAGCATGCAAAACTTCCTAATTGCTACAATTATATCGAAATCTGTGTTGGCCAGACCTTAACACACTCATCTGTTTCCTAATTTTAAGAGAAAACCAAAAGCAGAATTAACTGCAGCAACCAGACCCGCCACACTACTTTATGCCTATTTTTATTTAGTTAGTTAGTTAGTTAGTTAGTTAGTTAGTTAAATAACTTATATGCCGCCCCCATTGCACGAGCCTTTTTATCCTGAAAATGCCCACTACTATAGAAGGAAAACCATGGATTTTTCCGAACAGGTTGCACTGTGGCTGCAAACATACCTCCTAGCAGTGTGAGGCTAAATGTGGGTTTGCACAGACGAGCTGCATTTATTCGTTCTTTCTGCAACACTGGCTACTTTTGGGAATAGTACATAAGTACACTAAGAACATAGTGTCTTAGGACCCCTTTAAAAAACTGTATAGATTTTGAATGTTTAAAACATTCCTCCTCAGGGTGACTGCCCTGCCCTACTCCTTTGCTTCCTCAGATCAACTCTTGCCCCAGATGGGCCCAGCTGGGTGGCCAAGGGAACCCTGGAAGGATGCTCCTTGCCTGTCGGCCAGCCCAAGCCAAAGATGGGATTGGGATGTGGCTGATGGGCGCGTTTGGAGGGACTGAGGAAAGCAGAAGGCGGAAACCTGGGGAGGGGGGCAAGGAGGCAGAAGATGGTTGCTTATGAGTCTCCTTTAGCTTCATCTAATTCCTAGCTCTCTGCTCACACTAGACAGTTCAAACAAGTGCATCTCTCCCACAGGCGCATTTGCCAATACAAGGTTAAGCAGAGCAAAAGTGAGAAAACGGGTGGTAGGCAGAACTAACAGCATCTTAAGGAACTCAGCATTCACTGTTTAGAAGAAGCTAAATTACTAGCCCCAGTGGCTAGCAGACTCAAACGTCTGTGGCCAAGTTCTGATGAAATCTGTAAAACTCAATATGGGCCGTGATTAGAGGAACATGAATAAAGTATGCAGAAGAGTAGACAAATATGTGTGAATAATGTACACAGATGGGAGAATGGAGGCTTTTTTCTGCTGCAGAACAGAATTATCCTGTCACAAAGTTTTGATTATTTGAAAGCAAGGAATACATGAGATTGGCTTTTTCCTATTAACTAATGAAGCTATGACTTTCACACAGAAAATGATTAACATATTCATTACAGGTCTATAATTTCTTGTTTGCCTTGTAAACCAAAAAAACTCTTTAAACGTCACAGACTCAAAAATCTTCACTCTAATGGCCTTGCAAACTATTCTTATTTCACAAATGTGTCATAAATAGCCAAAATTACATCTTTTAAAAATAATTGTTCAAGTATGCATGAAAAGTACAGTCTATTTCCACACCCTGCTACAGGGAACAGCCTTTGAAAACAAGTCTGTCTTCTTATAAAAAAAAATACATAGCCACAGTCAAGGTAAAGAAATTTAAACAAGGAAAAACTGGTCATTACTTTAGCTTCTAGAGCTCCATGAATAAAATTATCTCTCACTAGAAATAATATTTCTTACCTCCCAAAATATTAACAACACAGGCTGTCAGAGCAAGTTGCAAAATGTTAATTGTACTTGCTTCCACATTCTTTACACACACCAATGCCTGCCTTGGTGATACAGACTTTTAAGAAATGTTTCTGCTGAAAGATTTACCACCATATTAGAGTAAGAAAATGACTTTCTGTGTAAACACAAAATTACAAGCTAAGAAAATCAACCTAGACATTCATTTACCCATAGAATATATATGGGTTAGTATATTGTCCATACAGTTCTTCAGTATCTGTACTCAACAATTGCCAAATAAAGGATCATAAGAGGCCTAGGATTAGAGTAGGTCACACTAAACCTACTGTAAATGCCTGAATTTTTGCTATCTCATTTCAAGTATCTGAACCTGGCATTCGCTTCCTTCTAGGGAATACTACTAGAGACATTACTGCCTAATACTGGAAAATAAACTGCAATGTGAAACTAGCAGGAAATCCTTAAGAACAGGGAAAACATTGTCTGATTCAGATGGGCATCTCTGTTCAAACAAAGTATTGCCTGCAGACTACATCCATTTCTACATCGCTAATTCTTCCCATCTTTATACATCATGATTCAACACTTCCTGAATTAATCATAGCTTCTCATTATGTCTGAATTGGGAAAACATGAAATCAGAATCTGAGGAAGCTAGAATCATGACATTTGAAGCTGTGGTTTAAGATTCTTGCCCTGTGCTCTTGTTCCCGATAACTAGTTTCTTCCTTCAGATATATAAGAAGCTATGATTGTTTAACCCAGAAAACACTCAATGAATGGCAGCATAAGGACCGACTGCAGGGGCGCAAGCCTTATATATCTTGGCCTAGCAAGCCAAGATGCCTGCATGTCAATCAGGCCACTCAAGTCCACCCAACTTGAGAAAATCCACCTCTGGTACTTGTTGGACCTTAGCATTTCCACAACATCTCTCCTTTCTCCTTCAAGGAAGAGACGCCAGAGACTAGGCAGACAGCTATGGCAAAGCATGTTAAGTGACACTCCGCCTCTACTCAGAGAGAGCGCTGAGGGCAGAAGGAAATGCACACAGATATATTGCAAGGAAACGTGAGGGGCCAAAGGCCACTAGCAGAGGCAAGCATTCACTGCATGCCAGGCAGTCCCCAGTATCACGAATGAGTGGCAGGAGCAGAGCTAGGAAAGACCTCTGCCTGCAGGTTAGGTGAACGGATTGGGGCAGTCCATCAGGCTTAATCTTAACCACTGCACTGTTGGGTCATCAGCTAGAGCCAGCCATTAAATTACAGCTTGTGGGGAATGAGGCCACAGAAAACACTCTTGTTGATCAGAGTACTGCAAGGGTGCCATGCACAAGCAGTGACACCTGTATGTGTTTTTATGCCACCTGAGATCAACACAATTTTTAACGCAATGGCAACCCAAGTATAGAAGTGATCGCAGAACAGCATAGCTCATACAGAGCAGCCCAGCTGCACATGTGCCCCATGCTATTATCACATCAACCATCTAAAACTAATTCTAAAAATAACTGCTCCATTTACAAATTTGGAAAATGGAGGCCGAAACCAATCACAAGGATTATAATGGAATTCTTGATATAGTTCAAAAAGCAGATGCACATGAAAGTGAGCCAAAACATATTCACCACCATTAATTATCACATTACATTTACATCCCCCTCCCCTTTTCCTCTTATGCAGAACCCAAGCCAGGTTATATAATTTCCTCTCCGTCTTTTTGGATATAAAGCAATCAACACTGTTTTCATAAAATATTTAAGTATTAACATCAGTTACAAACATGTTAATGCACTCAAGAAATTACTGTGATATAAAATAATAGGAATTCTTCTAGGTGTACTGCCATAAGTATTAAATAGTAATCATTTCATAGCACTTTTGCTGGGGGGGGGGGGCTGTACAGACAGTGCAGTGCTTGGATTTCCACAAGCTGAACATTTACCTTAAAAGATATCAAATGGCCTTTGGTGTTTTGGCCCTAATGCGCAAGTCCTTACCCTTCTCTTCCAAAACACCAGACAGTCCTTTACAAGGCAGCCCCTCCGGCACTTCAGCTGGAGGATAAGCCTCTGCTCATGTAAAGAGCGCTGAATCCAAACTGGAGACTCCTCCCTACCCCTTCCCTTTCAGAAAGACTGTGGCCTCCACCCTCGGGGGGCGTGCTGGTGGTGGAGAGCTAGCCTTCTAACTGGTGAGCTTGTCTCCCCTGGGGCAAGGCAGTGACTCTCTCTCCTCTCCCGGGATGCTCCATCTCTTTCAAAACATGTCTGCTCTTACGGTTAGCCAGGAAAATGGCAGGCAGTGACCATGATGGGGCTTCCAAGACTTCTGCCTCTCTCTGATCCTCCTGCCTTCTCACCGCATCCTCCTACTCTCCTTCAAAATCTGATAATGCGAGCCATCAAAACATCCACACATAGCATATACAGGTTGCAACCCCTCCTACACGTTGTTTTTGTCTTCGTGTCCCAACAGAGGGTTGCTGCTCTCAGCTCTGACACCTCCAGTCACTTTGGGGAGAACTTGCATCAGTTCAGTCTTCCTAGTTTCAAAGCAGCGGGTGGGGGGGCAGCATCAATTCAATGATGTGTATACACCTCCAATCCAGCAAGAAACTGTTCCAGTTTCCCAGATGTGAAAATCCAGTAATAGAAGTCATACATGTATCATAACATTTTTGTGTATGCACAGTGCCTGATCCAGCATGTCTGAAGATTAATTTCTATTCACTAATGTAACTTAACAAAGTCTTCTCTTTTATTCTCATTGGTTAAAAGCAGTTTTGTTCTTTCCAAAAGAAGATGGTAATTACAAACAAAATTATTAATTTTTTTTACAGAAGCTTGGCTGAATCTGATTGCTCCTATCCATTCACTGATAAATATCTCTGGTAATGTAGGAGGCGATTTCCCCTCATTTCCCTTTCCTGAGGTCGTCCTTTCCCCAAAACTCTGCTCCAAAGGAAGCAGGCATTTATTAGCAGTATCTGTCCAAGTTGAAAACATCTTCACAATCATAATCTTGTGCGATCACCTTCACCTTCCGAGCATTCCCCCACTTATTCTGCAACACAACTGCTTCACTCATTGGCAAAACTTACTCTAAGCACAATTTGTCCCCCCCCCCCCCCAAAACAATGGTAAACATGAAGGAAAAGTAACTGGTGCATGGAGGGGGTTCTTCTGCAAAGGACACTGGAAGTATTATATTTATATTCTGCCTTTTTTCCTCTCAAGGAACT